TTTCTGGTTTGTGCACTGGAGTACTAAATTTGCAGACGTTTTGTTTTGAGGCTTTGGGCTTGAGGCTGAGGGTTCGGAATGTTAAGCTGTCAGTGTGGAGAATTGAAACTACAGGGCTCAAGGCGTGGAGTTGAGGAGTCCACAAGGTTACGCAGGCTCTGAGACAAGGTAAGCGCTTGCATGAAGGGCTTGGATGAACTATGATGAACTGGAAGCAGGGATGATATTGTCGATGCTCTAGTGAAAGGATGCACTGAACGCTCTTTCCGTGTGGGCATGAATGTTTAAGGGAGGCGCTGGTGGGATAAGGAAGTGCTTATCCTTCGGGCATGGCTGCTCTGATGAATTGCTGCACACGTTCTTGGCGGGCGGGCATGGATACTTAGGGGCTTGGATGCGCTGGCAGCACGGACGTCCTTGTCGTGTAGGTATGGATGCTCTGACCAAAATAAAGCATTGGAAGCAGGGATGGTGATCCTATGAGAAATAGTGTAATGGAGAGGCTCTTCTGCTGTAGGCGAAGCATCGCCATGGGATACAGGGCGTGCAGCATTGTGCGTTAAAACCGCAAGTATAGCCTTCTCGCAAACCTGAAACGGTGAAATACGCCTCAAGGTACATGCAGCACGAGCACGCAAGCTGGAAGGGATTTCTCAGCACAGGCTGCCCCACAACTCCAGCACTGCTGGCATCGTCTCTTGCAGCAGATGTGGCAACACGGCGCCCTTCCGCACCATGACGGTAATATGCTCCTAGGTGGGCGTAGTAAGATCCAATGAGGTCGTTGCATGTAATGGTGCCTGTGTAGATTGTGCCCATTTGCATGTCAAGCATGCAGCTGAGGAGGAAGCCAGATGAATCAGCTTCTTGTTCGGTTTTCCCTGGCCGCCACACTGCGCTCCGTGATGGTGGACAATGGCCCCGCAGGCGATCGTTTCCAAATCGGGGCCTGAATGTGCAGAGACTCGCGCCACGATGAACATGGCGTCCACAAAAAGGTAGCGGACACATGGCGCATGAGCATCTGGTTTTGGGGGGTCGTGCTTGCCGCAACTTGCGAGATGTCCGGCGTCCACACGTCAGTGGGCCTGCCCTCTTGTGCCAGGCGAGGCGCGCCTCACACTGATGGCGCCCACCGGATACATGCTAAGGCAAGCTGAGCTGTGCGCATCTCAGGCATGAACTCAACCCATGCCGGCCTCATCCCATTCGTTCTTGGTGCGTCCACTTAATGCAGACAAGGATGTACTTTAATTTAGTAGACTTTGCAAACCACTGCTCCTGCAGTGGAAGCGAGAGACTGTCATGCGACGAGTGCGGGAGTTTGTAGCGTTTGGCTTTGAAGATGGGCAGGAGTGTTGCTACGCGACAGCAGGAAAGTGAAGAAGAAATACCTTGCGGGGCGATATTTTCATTATTTAAGTCTGCGATGGACTATAAATTGCAGGGGGTGGGGCGGGGGTAAGGAGAGTTTTTTTTTGGTATGTTGGGTTTTTCAAGGCGTACGTTTTGGCGATGCCCAAAATTGAAGATTTGATTCCGTCGCCCGCCCTGATGCAGCAGCCCACTGAGGCCACCGTCCACAATGGCCGTGAACAGCTCAGGCTCCCTGGACTCTTCCAGGCCAACTACGCAAGTCCCGCGTTTCCCCGTCGTCCTACAAAAGATACAACGCGTCAACCAGCAAGGCGTAGACCTGTCTTGCAGAGGTCCTTCTGAATCCTGAAAGTGGATTTTTCTGTCAGTGAATTGTACGCACATTCCAAGACTGGCGGGAGTTGCTCAGGTTGAAACTGACTGAGACTGCAGTGAGATACTAAGTAACGGCAGCATTCCACAGCGTTGCAGCCACCCTGCAGGTGGTCCTGCTCAGGCAGTGAGCAGCTGTTGTGTTTTTGGTGAAAACCATATTGCTAGGCACGAGGCAGCTGCTTACACCAATGGCTCTTTGATTGATGGGCAGGTCAGAACTGCGTGTACACGCTGCCAGCCCTCGGCGCAATTTGGGCAGGATGTTGGGTCGAGCCCTCATCCGCTTGGTGGACTTGCTTAGCACTTGGCTCTTGCAGGGCAGGCTGCGCGAAAGCTGAACCTGCGTTGCAGACACCATGGCTGAGCCGAGATCGATGTTTGGGTAACGCTGTCCAATCCGGCGACTCCCCTGGCTCCAGACAGCCCTGAGAATGAGCTGGACTCAGAATCCGATCTTGTGCAACTGGGGTCAGTGAAAGCGCAACTTTGCGTTACTCCAGTCGAAGAAAGGTATGGCAGTTGATGATGCAGGCGCCTGCAGATGTCTTACAGCCTGGCCAGTTTGTCTCATTTAGCCTCGTTGGGGCAGGCCTCCGGCTATCATACAACAAGCGTGTTTGCGCCAGCAATGCACTTAGAACATCCCAGCAGTGTAACTGTAAGGCCCTGTACGGCGGTGGTCGGATTCATTCAGTTTCAAATAAAGAAGCGCAGTGAGGTGGTGCAGTTCTCGCAATCCAACCTCCAGGCTGGTTCACAATGGCATGTTATCGAGTTGCCAGGTTTACGAATGGCCGCGCTCAGGACGATTCCATAAAGCTGGTGGCAGGCGCAATGGTGGTTGGTGGTGGCGGCTCAGTCGAAATCCTCGCCTCTATAGCTTCTCCAGCAACACTCACCGGGTTATCGGCATGGCACTGGCAGTGGTCCTTCGCACGACAGCCACACGAGCACAGCATGCCTCAGCTTGGCAGCGCCAGAAGACTTTTTCCACAAGCTCGTAAGTGAAGACTTGCGCCAGGAATGTCTGTGCTGGGCTTGCTAACCCGAGTCTCCATTCGGCCCAGCCGCTTCTTGGTCGCAGCCACCTACGTGTCGTGATGGTATGTGATGGTTGCGTTAGGCTCACGAGTCCCAAGGGGCTTTACAACAGTCCCGGGGTGCAGAGCAGCCTTAAGTCATCAGGTTGAGCCGGGTCGTAGGAGCAAATGTTATCAAATGCTGTTATCTTTGATTCTTCAGTTACAAGCCAACTAGGATCAGCTCCGCAGTTCAAGGCTTTGCTGCCTCACCTGCCAACGGCTCACTTGTGTCCAACGAGCTTCAGGTGCATCACACGGCCACCACATGCACTGACATGTGCTGACGGCCCCAGCATTTTGCGAGCTTTGAAGAATCTACAGATGTCAGGTTTTCTTCACGCCGGAGCAAAGTGTTTGGGCTGGAAGGCTGAGCATGCGAAGAGCTACTTGTAGAGGTCAATTTGCTAAGGCTTGTGGAGGGAAAACAGAACCACTGAAACGTTGAAGTGCTCTGGGATGCCGAAGGCTGTTGCTGCAGATGCCGGACAATTTCATCATGCCATCCACTAGCATTTGCTCCGATTCTTGGCGAGCAACATCATGCGAGGTTTGAGTTGTGCGGGTCGCGGCGTTCTGAGCTTCGCGTGGCTCAGGATTTGCAACCAGCCTACTATGCCGCTGCCACTCAGCTGTGTTATGCCTTATAGTCCATGAAGCCACACTGGCCGATTCACAGCTGCCAAGATTGAAAGCCTGAGTTTCTCCAGGATGGGGCGGGCCTCCAAACATTGCCTCTTCCAGGGAACTGGTCATGCTTGGTGGAGAGCAGGAAAGGATGTAGCTTAAGTGTAATTGAGTCATTCAGCAGCCATATAGAATGCTTGTAGATGACTGCAGGAGCTGCTTGAGCATCGTGCTGCTTGGACCACTTCTAGCAGGTCAGCACTATGGCTTCCAGGCTCAGGTGCCAACCGCACTCCAGTAGCATTCGCATCCCGGACATAGCCGCTACGACACTACGATGTGGCAGAAAAAACAGGGATGGGCATGAGCACCAGCAGACGATCCTAGGTAAACACTTTGGATGAGACGCAGGTGTACAATCCTCGTCGATTTCCAGCCGGGCAGGACTCCTGGGCGTGGCCCTCGGCAGTACTCGATGTGTAGATGCCCATTGAGTGATGTTACATCCCCCCCTTTGATTAAAAATTAGGACTAGGGGGCGAGGGAAGGCTTTGCGCGACACCGCTCTGCCTGAGGTTCTGATGACCTTTACGGAGCAGGGCTACCCGGTGGATTCATCGGCTGGCATTGGCCTTGGTCCGCCCATCATGGCTGCCGCGACTTGTTGCATGCCGCCGGCTGGCATTGTAGTTCATGCATCAAAACCCTCCGCAGAAACCTGCAGGAATCCAAGATGGCTTCGATGTGTACAAACAGGAGCTTGTAGAGGCAGGAGCACAGAGCAACAAAGATGTTGGATATTCATTGGGGATCCACCTGATCGACTTGTTGCCGCTTTACACATTCATAGTATAAGGGTTCAGTCTTGGTCCCTGAGAGCCCATGCCCTGTCAAGGTCTCACAATTGCAGGGCGGCGTGGATGAGCCCTCGGTCGGGATGAAGGCTTGGCTGCTCAGCTTCGCAACATAAAGTTGGTGAAGGTGGAATACCCATGCACCGAACACCTTTGGCACCGTGTGCGACACGGTGTCTGCGGCTGCAGGTCAGTTTTCCCATGATGCAGTAGCACCCCTAGTGAACCGTTTCGTCCAGCATGCTCAACTTTCTTGCGAAACTGGCAACAGTCTTCGCGCACCCTTGCACAAGACTGAGGTCAGAGCGGGATCGGGTTGCAAGAGTGCTAGTCTCAGCGAGTGCTCTCGATATGTGGGGTTTAGACGACCAAGTGCCGGCACGCAACCGCTCTGCTTTTTTCCTACCATGCAGACTTGATGTAAATCAACAGCGAGTCCACAGGCGAGAAGTGTTACCCACCAGCCATAGACTTCACCACGCCTCAGAAAGGTGGAGGTCTTGCCATTGCGGACAGGGGTGGCCCAGCTGCAGTTGGGTCAGTGGATGTCGGCGCATTTGTTCTGACATGTCCGCCCACTACCGTTCACGGCCTGCAAAAGCCGACGCCTCATGTCTCATGTGACCCAACCAACTTCATTCTCAAGGCAGTGTGGTAGGTCTAGTGCTTCGGCGGCCCACAGATAGCTATGGGCGACACCAAGTGGGGTTTCAGCGCGAATTACGGTCATCGCCATCTTCCCTTCAAGTGGCACCATGCAGGACTGAGTGCTTTGTGTGGGCCCTAAGATGAGTGAGCAGCTTTCCCCGAGCATGTTGTTACCTGCGCAGGATACACATACTATGACGTTAACAGCAGTCTGAAGACATCTTTCCGGCCACCGTCCATGCCCACATATCGGGATGATTTTCTTCCATTGGACACAGACTACCGGGAGCGTGAGCAGAACAGTCGGTGGGCAATGTCCTGCAACTGGGCCGAGTTGAGTCAGGAAACGCAACGAGCTCAGGTGTAGCAGTCTATCTCGAGCAAGGCAGCTTTGGCAGAGAGCAACGCCGGGCCCAATCTCAGCTCAGGCTACGGATGCCACCGCAATCCGGGATGGCAGGACACCCTGCGCGTGCCGCGCAATCCGTTCGTGGGCAACAAGCTCCAAGAGATGAAGCAGCCTCGGCATGCAGAATGCGGCACTGTTTGTGGGATTTTGCAGGTGCTCAGGGTTGGTTTTGCCTCATCTTCGACTCTGCTGACTCTACATGTGTTGCACCATCTTTGGGTGTTGCAAGTACCCATGCAGGCTTCTTAAAGTGAGCTCCGGAAAGTCTGTCTGGGTGCTGCCTGTAGTCGTGTTCTCTGACTTGGGTTCTCCAACTTACACTGGCCGGGAGTGTCCACACAGGAGGCGCCACATTGCTTTGCATTTGCCATGCTGATCTGACAAGGTACCTGCGAGAGTTTGGAGCAAAATCTGTCTCTGCTCCAACGACGAGACTTTCCTGCAAATTATGTGCTTGAAGGTGTGTGTGGTGGCGTTGCCGTGCTCGAGCACGCAGACATTCAGACACGGACTCGCTTGCCGGAAGCCTTTTTCTGACATGCCTGAGTGTCTGAGTATCTGCCTCATTGGTGTGTGCCTTCACAACCTTCACACACAACCCCCCCCGCCCAGCGGCGCCAAAGGGGAGGGGGCGCGGGAAAAGGGTGCCTTCCTCGCGGCAGACACTCCGCATTCAGAGTCAGGACCGAGAACCCGATCTTTTCAAGTCTCCCATTGGATGAGCTGGGGCCCTTTCTGCTCCCAATGACCTTCGATTCGGCCACCGTGTCTGAGTTTTTGGAGTGTCTGATTTTCCAGAATCCATTGATCCCTCCTTACGACAACACCAAATACTCGTACGAGAATATGAGCGACCGTCAACAGTGAGGGATGGACGTCCGTTGAATGGTCGGCAGAACTGCGATTGGCGGGGTCAGAGGCACATTCGTTGTTACTCCAACATGCTGAAAAAACGCATTCACTTTCATCTCCCATTCGCTTGCCCTGCAGAACAACAGAAAGCCACAGCCGAGATCCATGTGCAATTGAAGGTCCTGCAAGAACAACTCAAAGAGTATTTAAAGAGTCGATCGCACAAATAGCTTGCACCAAGTCCGCGCCGATCTGGCCAGCAGCCCGCGGCGCAGTTTCGGAGCCGCGCGTGCTCCACTTCACGGTCGACTCCAAGGAGAAGGACAATCCTGTTCAGGTCTTGTCCCCCAGCTGCCTGAGGTTCTCCCGAGATTTGTTGAGGTGTGCGGCTCACAGGAACTTTAGAGGTCACATGTGTTGCCTGCAGACTTCCCGGCTTCGTGCCAGAATGTGCCAGAATGTGCCAGAATGTGCCGGATGCGGTGTGCTGCTGCTATGCCTTCTTTTGAACCTGCTCCAGGACGGAGGATGTATCTTGGCAAACGTGGATGTAGCGCTTGGTTGTACGCAATTCATGGTGGCGAAGCACAGGCTGTGAGAGGGTACGGCCACGGTGCTGTGACTGATGTTGCCGAGGTGTTCAAAGCCTCGACCTTAGGAAAGTGGGTCGCTTGGCTGAATGCTCGTCCGCAGTCATTACATTCTGCTTTGAGCATGCCGTTGCTTGTCAACAGGACAGGAATGCTGCTTCTCATTCTCCACGTGTCTGGAAATCTTTTCGAATGACGGGTTTCGCAGGTAGATTGACCAAGCCCCCACGAAAGCGGAAGCTTCTCTGAAGGCATTCGTAGCACTGCAGCCACTTCATAGCTTTTCAAGCAGAGCGAGCTTGAAGTCTACTTCATGCTCCACAGCCCCCAGCCCCTAAATTACTTTGGGCATGAGGAGCTGCCCTGGCAAAGAGATCATCTCGCCCTGCTTTTGTTTAAAAAGGCGAAGCCTAGGTTTCACCGTGACACTTTTAGGAGGATGATTTCACTGAAGCTACGTGACAGCTTCAGAGTTGTGTTAATTGCTCCTTCTGCATGATCTTCATTGGTCACGCTGACAGTCACGAGTCTTCGGGGAAATCACCAATCGCCTGCGCTGTAGCTCCCTTACAGCCTTTAGATTCGATGCGATGACCGCACGGTCAGGCATTGCCTGGACCGTCTTCCCAACCATGATGGAGAGAGGTGCATGCAAAGGCTGATGTGACTCATATACCAAAGCGTGAGTATGCGAAACGGCTCACGTAGATCTGGTGAGACTTGGGAAGACGGCGCGGAAGCTGACACTTGTACAGTTGGAAGAGCTACCCTTCCAAACACCCCACCATGCCAAGAACCATGACAAGGTGCAGTTCATCAAGCATTGTTATGCATTGTTTCCATCATGTGGCTCGAGCACTTCGTTCAAATTCTTGTTGTTAATTGGAGCCCCTCTGCGTGCTTCGTGTGTAGATTTCGGAGATGCAAGCCCACGAATTGCTTAAGCAGTGGTCCTCGGACATCCTCGAACACTTGTTGCCTTGGGCTTGCCGTCGACACATCCGAAATGTCTGTGTTGGCTGGGGAGCATCGACACCGGAGCGGCATTGCTGGGCATTGCGCGCTCCTTAGATGTCGGCACCCAGTCGACCTAAACCTGTAGCGACCTGCTTTGGTTGGCTTTTCAGGCCGCATGCTGCGCTGGGCATGGCCACGAAGCGGTCGGAACAATTGCTAGCATTAGGACATTGAAGCTGTGGAATGACTGGGCTAGGTTAACATGAGCCTTGCAGTGTTGGATGGAGACTACTTATTCAAGAGGGGATAGCGCCCAAAATGTTCATTGCCTCGGCCTCAGTGAGTCGCATTGTTTATCACATACCCAACTCTACTCACATGGTGTTTCACAGGCCTAGCTCCCATGTTTGTTACAGGGTTTCTTGCAGACCTGGCCCTGCCGGGCCTGCGCACACAGTTTTTTTCACAGGATTTCACACGGGGCTTCTCACAGCCTCCTCCATCGGGAAACACGAAGGGAGGCTGTGAGAAACCCGCGGGAAACCTTGTGAGAAAACTGTGCGGCAGGGCCGAGTCCATGAGAAACCCTCTGAGAAAAACCTATCGCCCGGCCTCTTACAGTACAACCAACCCCAGCCACCAGAGGCCGGAGGCTCTTGTAGATGCCTGTAGACATCTTTAGATTAAGACTGAGTCAACACCCCAAGCATGTTGAAATCGGGCTGGCACGAGCTGTAGATACTTGAATATCTGGATTTGAGCTACTCGTCAACTCAAATTTGAGAATTCTGATCTTGTTCTCTTGCCAAAATCCTAATGCTAGCAGAGAAGACCATGCAAAGAACACTGGGTGAAAATCAACGAGTGCAGCTGCTGTCCACGGCACGCACCTCATTCATCAGAGTGTAGATTGCTTGGCCTGCAGGTTGCTGAGCTCTTGCTACGTGATGTGCTTAAAGGCTCAGAAGTGCGGAAGGCCCGGAGCCATCGATCCTTGCCCACCAGCGGCATGAGCGACACGAAGTGGGGCTTCGACACGAACTATGGTCATCGGACGTTGCCCTTCAAGTGGCAGTCCTCCAACGGCTTTCACTTCTACGAGGACATGTGTGCGATGTGGTAGGCAAGTCGCCCCAAGTAACTGTCCCATGCAGGCAGCAGCCTGAACATCTTTGGCGCTTGTCAGCTTGTTGGATGTCTTTGCTTCATGAGAAGGAAAGTCCGTTCACCAAGAAGAACTTCCGCCCATCGCATTTGCCGGCCCTCAGAGCCGAAGCTCGGCAAGTCGACAGTCAAAATCACGCTTAGACTTCGGACTTCGGAGGCTGAATTTGGGCTTCTTTGTCTCTGCAACACACTGCCGTTCTATAGGACTTCATCCCCATGACCACCCACTATGGCGAGAGAGCGCAGAATTCTCGTCATGCAATGTCGAGCTGGGCACTCGGAGTTTCGTTTCCTGCACATCCTCGCGTTGTCAGTTTGTGGTTGGCGTGCTCGGACGGAGGGACGAGCTGCGGCTGAGCTAGTCGTATGTTGAGGTTACGGATGTCACCGGAACCTTGTTTGGGACGACTCACTCCGCATGCCGCGGAATCCATTCCCAGGGAGGCCATCCAGGGAGATGTCGTCTCTTGTTTGCATTCAAGCAGCATGCCCACAAGCTGCCCTACGCGTGCTCACGATTTTCATTCAGAGAGCATCGCAGAGTGCAAGGTACATCAAGGAGCCCTCCCCTGAAGGCCTTTTATCAACGCTCCCTGGCTCCAGAAGCGGATTGCTGTAAGTTCATGCAGCCCAGAGGCATTGCCAGCGCTGTGGCTTCAGAGATGAAGCCAGCATGATACTTCAAGAGGTACCTCGCCAGCTGAGGCCGCGTCGCTTGGCGCAATGGGACATGCAGCGATTGGCACGTGGGTCCGGGACACCGCTGAAGAAAGCGATGACGCCACTACTTCCAGCAACTTGATGCAGACTTGGCCCATGCACATTGCACACATGCTTGCGAAAGCTGAAAGCAGTCGATATAGTTGTTTTGTGTCGTCTGGCGTGCCACTTGCAGACTGGTGCCCGCTTTGCCACTGTAAGGACTTGACGGACGCGAAGAAGCTCGTCCGGTCCTCAGTCGAGCCAAAGTATCCAAGTAGTTCTGTTTTTCTGCAGCCACAACAAATCATGCCAGAGGGTACCTGTGCATTTTGATGCCTCCCGAGCTTTGCGGGGAGGATATTCCACAGCAAGGTTCTGGAGCTACAATCAAAGGTTCCCCCGTACTCTCCTGCTATTTCTACATTACTATATTAATGGAGTCCTGTGGGCGAAGATCTTGGGCACTGCGATCTGAGAATTCTCGAAGGTGTTTTTGTTTGTCTAGTTTGTTGGTGTACTTGCCGCATCGTTTTCTTCTCACAGTCGGAGACAGCCCACTGCCGCATCCGTAACTGCAAAGAGGATGCGGTTTCATACCATTGCACAAACTGTCGCTGCCTTTTCGGGTTGAATGATGCAGCACATCCCCATGTCCTCCAAACGACAGGTTGGTGCTGCGAAAGTACAGGGATCTCGTGTGTATGCCGAAAGCTGTGACGACCTCGCGAATTGTAAGTTTGTGCCACTGGCTGCTAGCATGACTGCGACTGCTGTGGCTCCTCTGCCATGATTTCGCTCAGAAACCTCATGCCACTACCACTCCACCACTCCCCATTGTCATCCGAACCACGAACGGCGGTTTGTTTCATCTCCAGTCCGGCTTGCCCCTTGTCATATGTGTTTGCCCTCCTCTCTGTGCTCTGTTCAATGCAAGTAGACACGAAGATCAGCTGCATGTCATCTTCTCAGGTCCATGAACCTCAGCAGGAGCTCTCCACTGCCCTCGACAAGCTCGAGGTCCGTGGTTGCAGTTAAAGCCTCACTTAAGAAGCCTTGCGGGTCTTCCAGTCCATGCCTCGAATGTCAAAAGATGCTGTGAAACCCGAACACTAGTCCTCTCAACCCCAAAACAAGGCTCTTGATAGATTGGACCAAGCATAGGAGGCAGGCGCACAGCGACGTTTGCCAAGGAGACCGTCTCTATGGATCCGCCGAAGCGCGTCTTGCCGAGCGAAAGCATATTTGCTTGACTCGACGCAGATGTTCGAGAAGGAGCGTGCCGGGAAACAGCTAGGCCCTGGCAAGACAGGTGGCAAGTACAATGTAATGATACATCTCTTTGTTTGCACGAAAGGACCGAAAGATCCCAGCCACGCCCACTACAAAGTGATTGTGGAAGTTTGAACATTGTCCGAAGCGGAGAATATGGAGGGAAAGGCAGAGCTGATATCCAAGCCTGCAGGATGTGCAGACCAAGTCTTGAATAAACAAGGTTGGTACTGCAGCTGTCCACTGAATCTTGCTTGTTTTCTCGCAGCTCCTGGTTTATGGGAGCTTGCATTTTTTGGAAAACATCAACTCGGGGGAAGTAGCCCACGCGAAGCGTGAGCTGCCATCTCTCTCAAGTGAAACTTACATTCATTTCAATGTGCTTGGAGCGTGCTCTGCATTGCCACAGTTGTCCTGAACAGATCACAAAGCGAAGCACATGCTGCATGTAGCAAGCTTGCGCACTTCCATTGCTTCAGGACATGCGGCTTACACTGGACAATAGGAGACCTGAGACGCGAGCAAAAGCAACGGACTTTGTTGGAATGGGAAATTTTGGGATCCTTAATTCTTGACAACTTGGTAAAGAAGCCTTTCTCTTGGAGTTATGAGCTCTTCTCAATTCACAGCCAAGGTGGACATTCTGGCATCCCTGAGGCGCGAGATGTTCAATGCTTCCAGCCTCAAGCCTCGCACCTCTCGCCCATGCAAAGTTGCAAGCAGCTTGCTGTGTGGCAGCTACAACTGACTTCGGGATGGTTCCGAACAGGGGCTGCGCCGATTTTGGTTCTCGCATGACAATCAACTGTTGCGATGCACGACTGGGATTTTGGAGCCAATCGAAAGTTGTTTGCACAGCCGTTTGTGCAGGGTGCTGGCGCCTTCGGGCTACGAGTGGTTCTTCCCTGACGAGGTGGAACAGTGTATAAATGCTGCCAGCTACTAGCTCCGGGTTATCCACCTAAAGTCCGTTGGCCCAAGCCTTCTAGTAAACTGAAAGAAAGCTGCCGCCGTCCGACGCGAGCTGTGCTTGTCGGGGGTCATGGGCCAATCGCTCTACTAAGCTGCGCTAGACATTGCCGGATTGAGCTCCTTAATAGTGCCATTTTGCTTGTATTCTCTGTGCGCTTTCAGACCCGCGGACTCAATCATTGAAAGCGCCCAAGGCAGCAGTAGCCTTCAACAGACCAATGCACTGATCGATGTTACTGCCGCTGACATTCGCCATAAGATTTGGCAGCATGCGTCAAGGCTACATTTTGTTCGTGGCAATACCATGTCCTCTAGAAGTGGCACCTGGAGAGTGATCACACTGATGCATGTCGATGTGAGATGTTTGCGATTTTCGGACGATGACCCAAACCATCCAAGCCATGGTGCAAGGTGTATATAGAGTGACGATGTAACGCCATACTCCCCCTGAGCAGGACTTCGAGCTTGAAGGTGCCACCGAAGCTCTTCCTGGCCACTCACTTGCAGGGCTGAATATGCACATCCTACCTACCAACTACCTGCCAACCTGGCTGTGAGCAAAAAAGTCTGTAGGGTAACAAAGCCCAAGTTGGGTCGACGACGACATGCGTGCAACACAAGGGGCCGCGACATACCTATGCAGCACCGGGGGGGGGGGGGGGTGGCAGAACCCCTATCTTGAAAATGAAAAGCCATGTGTCACAATATTTCAATAGTTCTAGTACAACATTGTTGCCGATGCCCCCGCAGAGCAACAAGACGGCTGAAGGGTGCGGTCTGAGGCGGAATGCCGCTCGCAGAAGCCAACGTTCTCCAGTGGCCCGTTGCCAGGCCCAGTCGCATGTACGAAACCCGCTTCCTCTCAGATGTTTCACATGTTTTCGGTTCAGGGGATTAATTTATGGCATCTGCTCGCGGCTTGCATCTCACCGCTGGCAAGGTACCTGGCCAACGAAACCTACGGGACATGACCTCGGCCTCTGGTTGAGAGGGACAATAGTGGGACTCTTATGTGCAAGCTGCGAACCATTTCCCTTCACCGCGCTCAGGTTTGTCTCCTGGCTTCGCCTGCCTTACGCTGCTCCGGTTCTGTCTGCCCATGCCTTCTTCTTGGAGTCGAAGCCTCGATCTGCACGCGAACCTGATCTGGACGTGGTGGGCAAACTGTATATGTTGCCGTTGCTTTGATGGTAGCGGCACTGTGGCGGATTCCTTGTATGGTTTTGGTCAAGTGACAGCACAGTGGTCTTACGAATTGCGCTTGCCATGGCTTGCCTGATGCGTGAGATCTGCCAGTTGCCAAGCAGGTTCGGGTACGACCAGTCCTGGGCCACAGGCGACAACCATGTCGATGCCATATTGACATGTCCAGCACCGGCTTTCCAGAAATTGCACCAGGGGCTGCGGGAGTCATGCCCCATAAAGTGATGCCACAAGTTCCAAACGTTTCCAAGCCATGGGGACCCTGCAGCTCTTCAGATCATCAAGAAGCTTTAAGTAGCCTTCCCAAGGCCCCCCCCCCCCCCCATGTGATGAGGCCGCCGGGTTCTTGCCGGCCGGGTGAACGCGCCGGCTCTGCCAGCGTTGAGGAGATTTCTGTGCAACCAGACCATTACAACAAGAGCTGGCTTCCCTTTCCCCATCATTTGCCACGTAGAGCCGATACATGTAAGCTCACGTAGTTGTGTAATGCACAGGATCTGGAGTTAATGATTGTTTCAGTGAGCAGAAGGTGATCGTTTGGGTTTTGGGGGCTACCATCGACACTGAGTTTTCTCGCGGGCTCTGCGACAGGAATGTTTGGGTGGAGCCAGTTTCCAGAGTGCAGGGCCAGACCACGCTTCTCACCTTCCAGGCACGAAGGATTGTCAATACTTGAACATTGCAAAATGATGCTGTAGACGCTACAAATTGTACAGCTTACAGGTATGGGAGAGTTTTTGAAGAGTGCCGGCCAGGTGCAGACCACAACACCTCTGCCGGCAGGCAAGCACGGCACAACCTGCCTTCTGCGAATCTGAGGGATAACCACGCAAGCTGCAGGTGGCGCACTCATAGTCCGAAGCCCTGCCGGTTTTGACTATGTAACGCCCTGCGCTTTGAAAGCCGCGGCCTCTCTGACAGGAGTGGGGCGCAGCCTTCGCAACGATTCCAAGCTCCAACTTCCCTGCGCTAAGGCCGTTTCTGACCTGGACATGCTGCCAAGCTCACCAGCTCCACAGCAGCTGCACAACAATGTGTCTTGCGTTACAAGGCCTCTATAGAATGATTTCCAACGATGTGCCGATTTGGACGGGAGCTGAGCAGTGGGCCAGGCCCTTTCCAGCTGCAGCAGCAAGGTCACGTACCAGCGAACGGCTGCAGGTGCCTTGCCATTCCTGTAGGGTGCTGTGCGTATTGTTGCCATCTTGATTCAAGTGGTCACTGTGCAGAGAAGGGATACCATTGCATCCGTGTTGCTCTCACCTAAGCCCATCTAGCATTCCGCATTCAATGTGCATCAGTTTTGTGGCGATCTTGGGTTGTGATCAACCCAGACCCCAAAGCTGCGTCTGCCTCCCACCATGCTAGACTGTATGCCAAAGTTGGAGGAGGGCACGGTTGGTTTTGGTTTGTCTCAGGCAGACTTGCTTCTGATCGCTGGCGCTGCTGGAATCCCTTCCGGCCTCTACCGTTTCCAGGCGTGACCTTCAGTGTTCTCAGTTGAGAACAAAGGACAGGTAATGAAGCAAGGGTAGAACGGGTCACGGGGACGCAAAGCTTGCATGATGTGTAGATAAATTTACATGTATTCCAATGTATGAGTAGTGTTTACAGGTGGCTGTCAAGAACGCGGAAGTGCCAGCCTGAGCGAAGACTGTCAGATTTCGACGCCCTTCAAGCATTTGTTGATTGGCTTGGGAGCAGACGCTACAAGGCAAGAATCTTGCAGGATGCGGAAGGGCGAAACTGCTCAAGCAGCGTCTTGGCAGCGAAATGGAGAATGCTAGCACAAGCGTGTAGTCCTCTGTTGGTTATTTGGGCGTGGTGACTACTTTGCACGTCACCGAATCAGGCCATCACTGCTGGACCTTCCTGAGCGTCGCCCCAGCCCCGGCTACTGAGAGTAACTGCCGGTCAGCTTGTCGTGCGCGGATCCTCTTTGAAAAAGTTCCTCTCTGACAAGAGCGCGGCTTGCGAGGCCAATGCCAACGAGCCCCATGTTGAGCTGGATTGGCGAAGCACCTCGCCCGGGTATCGCTTGAGAGAGGCCATGCCAGAGGCAGGGAAGCTGGGCTTATCGGCTTATCATGTCAACAAGATTTACTGATGTGAAAGAGCTGCGTGAACATATGGAGGGCAAGTCCTGTGGTCCAGTGGTAGTTTTGATATGTTTGTTTTTTGACAGCCTGACAGGCCAGGCTGCTGCCATCTCCGAGCCGCAATGATAGGCTGTCAGCCTTCAGTGCATGAGGAACTGCAAGCGGGCCACAACTGATGTTGCAGCGCCGTCATTTGCACGTAGTCACATGCACCTGCAAGTACTATGCATCATGGGGCAGCACAGTTGAACCACAGGCCGTTGGAGGGCAACAGCCTCACCTTCGTTTTTCGCTTGCTCCGGGACGTGAACGCCACAGGCCAGCACACAACCGACACAACCCGTCTTGGAGACCACATGATTCGGCACGCTCGACGCAGAGAGGGCTCTTCACTCCAAAAGCGCCACCAAGCACAGGTGCCCGAGACGACAGGGCCCTCGGCCCGGACACAACTACAGCCATGGATGCAAAGCTAACTCTGTTTGGGCCATCATGCGAGGCCAGCGCAATCATGTTCCTGAATCTCGGTTCGGACTCCGAGAGCAAGGCATGCTATGCATCCGCACCAGAAAGACATGGGAATGTCAGTGCAGCTGCTCGAGGCAATCGTGCTTCGCGGGCCTGCTGGCTTCATCCTCAAGCAGGTGCTCCACACCCATCTCACCAGAGTGTAACTTATAACACGTGCTGCCTTGCGACAGCATTATGGGAGAACGCTTGGTAGGGGGGAATAGCTGAAGCGGGCCATGGCTGATGGATCCCATGAGGGCCCGGCTTTCTTGCATGCGGATGGGTGCGTGTCCACGCGCGGATATCGATGCACATCGATGTGCACATGACACGCTTGTGTCACTGCTCGTTTTGCTAGTGCAAAGCAGGACTGTGCTGTGGACTCATTGGATCTCACGGCAGCGGCCAGCGCTGTTCGCCTGGCACCCTGTGTTCAGGGTTCATTGAAAATTTGGCAAATCAGAAAATTTCATGGCGGGGTGTTGGCGTGAGAGAGCGAGCGAGCTCGGTCAAGGGAGGTAGCGGCAGGGCAGGGCCGAGCGCGGAAGACGACGCACCCGCGAATCAGCGAAATGATGTGGGGAAGAAGGTGAAGTGAGAGGGTGAGACACACTGATGTGCAGGCGAGGGCATGCGGGCTATGTAGGTGCATGGGTGGGCGGGCGGCTTCTGGTTTGGCAGAGTTTTTTTTTTTTTTTTTGGGGGGGGGGGGGGGGGGTGGGGATTTCTCTTCCGACGGGTGTCGCCTGACCCGGAACTGAGGGCACGCACTTGAAATTAACGACAGTGGGGGAGCAGCGGGGTTTGGGGCGGGGGGGAACGTTGGCATGATGACTGATGATTGTAGTATTTGCGGTGCTGTCCTTGCTAGTTGCAGTTGTTCGTTCATCACTTGCGATATATTACCCACTTTGAATTGGCATGTGTTCGAGGCGCGCCTGTGACGAGCTGCCAGGACCGACTGCACCATATGGCCTACTTGCGAGTAAGTGCAAACGCCCAGTCAGACTGTCAGATTGTAGCCCTTAGCCTGAAGCACTTCATCATCAGGCATGGAATAAACCCAGACATACATGATACATGATGTTGCCCACGAGTCACTCAACAGCTGCGCAACTTTGCAGGCAGAGCTCAATATTGCGAGACTGGCAGTTGCTGATCCGGGGCTGAAGGCCACCTCACTGCGAGTCTTCTCTCGAGTGAGTCAAGTTCTCTCGGACTGAGCGCAGGCCGGGCTTCTCTATGCGATTGGTATGGAGGCAACCTCGGCCTACTGTAGCTTCCTCCATCAATACATCAATGCATGACATGTTTCTTTTGCTCTTGTGGTTCCATCTCGGTGCACATGACGTTCATGTCAATGCCACACTGGACAGGTGCTGACCAATCCGCCAGGCACGCCGGTCCGAAACTTGTGGTCGTTAGAGGCCGGCCCCAGCTTGTAGAGCATGGATGCATTTGCAAGCCTAACTAGCCCTTGCCTCTCTTGAGCAGGTTGGGACGGAAGCTTCATCTCCATTTCCGGGCTTCGCTGTGCAGACGTTCCCACTCCTCGTCCCACGGCTGGAGCAACATTTGCCCATGTGCCAGTTAAACGGGCCTGGCTGTTTTGCTTCGTTATTGAGCACGGGGAATCCTTCCTGCAGTTTTCAATTTCCCGGCAGGCACGTCGGCTCAGGGTTTTGGCCAGAGGTCAGCAGTAGACCTCGGGCAAGATGGCACAAGGGCGGTCTGCTGCCCGAAATTTGGATGTCAAGAAGCATCAGAAGCGCAAACAGAACCAGAGCGTTGTTCGCTACCGACAGGGTGTCGAGTTTCACTTGCGATATTGTCTGGAGTTGCTGCAGCAACAGGAGAAACAGCTGCTTCGCGAGGAGCGTTGCAGAGAGAGCCTCCAGCAGCGTCGGAGGGAGGAGCTCTACACTACCAGACGAATGAGTTTGCAGCCTGACAACCCCGTGACTCCAGACCTCAGGCCACTACTGGCATTAGATCCGCTTGCTCAGATGGCGCCCATGTCTCCGCTCAAGCTGGACAGCTTGGACAGCGATGTCGAAAGTGAGGAAGGCGCAGACAATGGCATGCAAGTGTGCAAAGATGAGCAGGTCCAAAATCGCACAGCTGGAGCTGCATTCACTGTCCAGACAGACGCACCGGTAGGCGGTGAACGAGTTGAGCAGGTAGATCCCAGGTAGGGATGCCAGACAGATGCGTGAATTGTGTTAACTTAGCTACGGTGCCAGCTTTAAGCTGCAGATGTGCAGAGCTAGACCCAGCAGCATGCTTGCAAGAGTTCCACGGGCCCTCAATAATGAAGCCCAATTCAGCTGTAGCCGCACGTCGTGACCGACCACGTGTTCTCTTATGTACGGAAAGAGTGGGGCGAGCGCAGCGTACACCCCACCACGGCACAGACAAGGCCATGAGTGCACCCAGCCAAGAGTATGTAGCGGGACAAGGCACTGCAAGCGCTCACTTGCGCAGGGGAGCCTAGTTGCTTGCACTGCTTTGCCAGGTCTGCACTGGTTCAGAGTCTGTCTACCGCGCAGAAAGCTTGTGGCTGATGAGGCCCGAGGTTTTGTGTGGCCGTCGCCACTGGCAAACCTGGTCTTGACCTTACGAGTGCTTGTCCGGCCTTTCGTTCCCACAGCTTCGCTCTCACTGCCACAAGGTAAACTTGACCTTCCAGCCACAGACAAGCCAATCCCTTGAAGGCAGGACATTGCGTAAACGCAGCTATTGGGTCGCCTTTCCTGCCCATATACACATGAAGCCTCACATCAGGTGTATGTTGTATCGTGCTCAAGGGTGTTTCATGCTCAAGCGGCACTGACGTACTGCGGAACGATGGCCAAGCCGCCTTGCTTCTGTGGAAGGACATGGGCATGCGCTCACTATCCGCTCTCCTCCTGGTGTTACTTTCAGCGACGGCGTCGACGGTGCTGTGCTGACCCCCTACTCGGAAGCTGAGGCCCGTGGGGTCAAATTGGGTTGAATATGAGTGGATGCTGAGTAGCTTCAGATATGCCATGGCTGAGGTTAGAGAGCACTGCATCCATCTGTGCTCGTACTCAGCTTAGAATTCGTGATATGGTGTGCGAAAGTAGCTATTTGTTTGCGCTGCTCAGTGCGACGTGCTCTCGAGGAGCGGAGGGTGCGAATGGTCTTTGCAGGTGGGTGCCAAAGTGATAGAAAACCCGCTGTTTGCTTGCACACTCTCCTTTAGAACACCGGGCAGGCCCCCAATGTGCTTGTGATCAACCTCCGGGAAGCCCCCAACGCGCTTCTCAAAGGTGTGCAGTACTGCTTGAGACTACGAGTCGCCCCTTGACCAAGCAAGAGTTCCAGAGTCTAGAGCCCCTAGATGCCCCAAGCGAGACACTGACAACTCAAAAAGTCCTTAAGTCTGGATGCATCCGGATGCAGCTCTCCGCACGCCGTGAAGATGCAAGGGTCCTGCGAATATGCCTATACACTTCATGCGTTTGCTTACTTCGACGCTTACTTGGCGGTGAGTTTTTTTTCCGGGCTTGTAACAGGCACCGGGGGGTCCCTCCGCGACAAAGGTTTGTAACAGACGTGCCGTGTCCGCGACAACCCTCCCCGCGACAAGGCTACAACCCCCCCCCCCCGACAAGAGAGCAATACCATTGAATTTTCTCATTGCCAATCTCGATGCGACCTTGATGCGTGTCTGCAGCAACTTTCACTCTAAGTCCGCGACAAGGCCTGCGACAGGGCGCGACATACCCGCGACAACCCGCGCGACTGCTCGAGCCAGCAGGTGCCCATCCGTAGGACAACCTTGAACGAGAAGCCCAGGGTTTATATTTACAGGGTTCAGGCTTTAATGGCTCTCCGGTAAAATCCCTGCGGTCCCTAAACCCTTCATCCGAAACCCCAACCCTAAACTGGGTTCAAAGTAGCGGCGCGACAAAGGTATGAAACAACCTGCCCGCGACAAGGCTTGTAACAGAGGGACGGGGGACCCCCCGCGACAACCCGAATTTTGACCCACTGCCACTTATGTCACCGCTTGTTGCCAAGCAAAGGTCGCGTTGTCAGAGCCACAAGGCACCTGGAAGCTTGAGCCCCCTCCTTACAGCCAGCCCTGAAGTCATGAGCCAAAGCCGATTCAAAGCGCGTCAAAGTGAGACTCATCGCTGTAGGTCCTACGAAGACCTTGGCGCAGGTAAGAAGTTGGACACGGGCGAGGCTGGGAGGTAATGATCACGAGGGCTAAGCCAGCGTTCTTCGGCTTGCTGTGGCAATGAAACTGGCCCCACCCCCGGTCGAGTTGTGTGTTGCCTGAGAATATCATGGAAAAGGGGGGGGGGGGGGCAGGGGGTGGTGTAATTTCCTTCAAACATGGCTGAGCACGTGTTTCGGTTGCGGTGTTGGTGTGCGGAGTGTGGTGGCGGTGGTGTGCACGGTGTCTAATCCATTTTGGCGTCAATCCAGGCTAGCCTTCGTTGTCCTCGGCTTTGACCCTCAAGTGTACGCAAACAAGCCGGATGGATCCCGGGTCTTTCCTGGACTTTCTGAGTCCGACCTGATCATCAGCAAGAGATGTCCAACGGCGAAACCAGATTGACCAGATCCCAACCAACACTGAGAAGGGTAAACTGACAGTTTGCTCAGCGAGACAGTCAGTGGCAGATGCCAATGGGTTCTTGGTGCTCCACAGCTGCATGCCGTCAGCTGTCTGCGCAGATTCTCAGCTTCCAGTTGTGCGACTCGCTCGCGCACCTGGCCATCGGAAGGCAAGATGCAGCTGATCTAGACAGGGTTTCCGAACTTAGGGGTACCTTATAATTGGGGTCCATATTATCAGGGAACCCCAATACTTGTATTTGGGGTCTGTGTTAGGGGTCCCTTGTTTTAATAAACCCCAACCTATCTAGACCTAAAACAGGGGTTTGTATGCGGAACAGGCAGCCGCAGTTCTTCGTAGCCGCCTGGAAGACTGCAGGTATGATCCCGGTGCTGGTGGCCTCACAGAACCCAACCAGGTGTGGTGTCAAAGGATTTCTGTCCAGATGTGTAAGTTCACATTGGGCACATGCAGCGTAGGGCATAACGGGGACTGAACGCTGTCAGGATGCAGAAGCTTTGTTGCCAGACTTGCTGGTGTCCATGACATGTCGCCACGCGGTGCGAGCCTGAAAAAGCAGTGCTGGACTATGCTATAAAGGCTGCTAGAGGCACACTATAGTTTGACCGGTCGATCTGCGCCTGAGGTTTTGCCGGATGATTGGCTGCAGATCCAGCTGCCTCCTGGATACCTGCCGGTTTGCTCAGAGTTGCAGAATCACACTTTCTGGGACCAACTGGACGCCCCGCACCTTGAGGACGGACTGCTCTGAAGTTGGCTGGCTGCAGGGATCACTGCCAGGCCGCATTGTAGAGTTGAAGTCCTGATCAGAACGAGCGCAGTACCAGCTTCGCCGGCAGCAACACATATGTACATCCTCCTTTCCGTGGTGATGGTAGATGGTTGTGCGCTTCAGGCATCACGCCAGATTGGCTCAATGCCCGGATGCCTGCGAATGTTGTCATTGCCTAAGTCTTCATATGAGCATCCTCGGCCAAATATTCTGGACGAACCTGTCAAGGAACTTGCCTGTACGTCTGGCGAAGTACTCTTCCACGTGCTGCCTGCAAGTACGGAGGTGCAACAGTATTCAGGTCTAGTTGCATGGAGTCGTCGTGCTAGATACCGAAGTGTTGAGTCCTTTTTGAATTTCAGATAGCAGGTTGTCGCAATCCTCGTATGCAGTCTGTTGCATCAGGCACTTCCCGCCGGGGAAATGCTAACGTTGCGCTTCGCGGTGGCAAACCCGCGGAGGCTGGGTGAGTAGCTTGCGAGACGGAGACATGGAAGCGTTAGAACATACTGTACGCCAGCATATGCCAGCATGCTGGTTGAAGCGCTGCCCGACTCCCAAAAGCTCCGGTAACTTGTAGCGAACCTATTTACATGGAGAGAAAATGAGAGAAACATCACGAAGTTTTGTGGTGTCTCGGCAGGAGCTTCGGTGAGCAGTATTGGCAGGCAGGGGGGGGCCACTTCAGCAGTTGGCGCCACTGGTTGGCAAGCTTATAGCACGAAACCTCCCGAGCACACAGTCGCAACTGGGCTGTGTCATTGGGGTATGTCATGATAGGTCCAATCACATGAATCACTACCTTCCTTCGAACATGTTGAGCGATCCTCCACAGTGGAGGTGCGTCATTTGCGGCAAGGGGAGGTGCTCGAAGCAGGAGCCTGGCGCAGCTGGGAGGCCTGGAAGAAAGAAGCACCGGGCGAACACTGTGCCTTGAACGGAAAGGGCCAGAGGTTATGAGAATTCCTTATGTGCCCCCCGATGTCGGGGTGTCCTGTACTGTGCATCTGGGGCGCGACTGGGGCAGGTGATAAAGCAGCTGTCAGAGGTGTCCATCACACTAGCCCGGGTCCTGGACAGCACAATCGAGAGGTTTATGGTTCAGGGTGTATAGCGCGGGTATCGGGAGCATTCCAGGCATCCGCGGCAGTGGGGCAGCGTGCCGGCCTCGGATGAGTTGCTGACAGCTGCAGAGGGAAGCAGACACCGCACCTGAGCTCATGCGCTGACCGGAGCAGAGGTTCCAGTGTGGTCGGCGCCCCGCGCCCAGTTGCCGAAACCACTGCTCAGCCAACGAGTGCTATGAAAGAATGGCTGAAGTGCGGGAACCCGAAGTGCAAGACAGGTTGCTGCAGCTCAGCTGCTTTTTGAAAACGCCACATGCGAACTTTCAAGAAAGGGACGATTTCATCGGCAGCACAGGTGAGCTTCCGAGCTGCGGGAGATGCTGAACTGTTGAAGCTTGAGTCGTCTCGTCCTCAGACTGTTTGTTCGGGTATATATACATATACATATATATATATTTATTTATTTATATTTATTTTATTTATTTATCTATATTTATATTTAAATTTATATTTATTTATTTATTTCTACCGCGTACATATATATATATATATATTTATATTTATTTATTTATCTTTATTTATATTTATATTTATGCCCTTTAGGGGGGCAAGCATCGGAGCTTGGCCAGGACCTGGCCATTGCAGCTTGACTTTAGCAGTGCCTACGTCAGTCGCGGCAGGCTCCAGCGCACCCTGCCTCCAATCAGGGGTTTGAACGAGTAAAGATGAAACAATACGATTCTTCAGGCAGCATTATTATGGAGGGTTTGGAAGGTTCGGATGTGAGGGCTTTCGTATTTTTACTGTGCATGTTGGGTCTCGGGTGTTCTTAGGTGCACAGGCAAGTGCCCGACATCAGGCATGAAGCAATTCAGGCGTAGCTATGCATCTATGCCTCTTCCTCTCAGCTCCGCTCCTCGGAAGATATGATATGTCAACTCAAAGGCACAGGCCTGCATCCTATTGCACGAAGTAGAATCAAGAAGCACAGTGCCACACGACGCCTCCCCGCTTCTGAGGATCGGAGTCCTCCCTCGTCTTGCTTGTGAGCCTGGACATGCAGGACGCTGACTCTTCATCATTAGCGACGTAAGCAGTACCATAGGGGCCTTAAAATTTGAATAGGGTTATTTTTGTATAATCATAAAGGGGCCATAAGGGAATACTATTATTCCTACCCCTATATTCTGCCCATGCCATCATGCTGCATGTGCCATTCGTCGAGGACCGTGAGCTGCTCGATCTGCGAGTCTACAACGTTCAATTGCCAAATGTTGGTGGGCGTTGCATCTTCCACTTGGAGACTCAAAGCCGTGTCTTGGCTCATGTTGCTGTATTGCCTTTTGCCTGAGTCTATGACTCTATGACTCCGAGCCAGTCTATGCCTTGAGGCACCGGTAGCCGAGTGGCGCGCATCTCAGTGAAGCTGCCCTTGCCCCCTCTGCACTCTGCAGACCTGTACCTTCAAGCCGATTCTCTCTTCCGCTGCCCGCAGCCGGTGCCTTTATTCAGACATGCCTGCGGCAGATAAGGCCCGAAAGCGGAGCATTGACACCGGCACAAAGATTCCAGGCAGAGATACGCCGCAGCACTGCTGCGCGCCTTGAAAAGCCAAACTTAGTAAACTTTTCAACAAACAACATAGGAAAGCCTTCCACCAGCAAGACCTGAGAGCTGGAGCCCCCTGCCAAATGCCACAGCCTCGCAGTAGACTGAAGCTCGACTTCCGAAGGCCATATCACGCTTGGAGCCCCGAACCTGCGGAGTGAGTATGCACCCAACCTCACACAGCACCTTGCTTCGCAGTTGGGGGGCGTTTGCGAGGGACGGCTGCCAGTGCAATTGCGGCATTGTGAAAAGGTCGCTGTGGCCGATTCAACTCGGAGGCCGTGCCGTGCTGGAGATGGATGCATCTTGGACTCAGACAGAAGCTCCTGGGATCCGTGAGCTGAATTCTCGCGAGCTTAGCAGCTTACCTCACAGCGAGGTGAGCTTCCCAGAGGGTTCGGGTCCGAACGAGACGCTTCGCATGTCCTGCCAGCCCTTCACTGTCTTGCAGGCCGACTGGGAAAGTAGTGCCGATGATGTTTGGCAACGCCTGGCTAGAAGAATTAGAGGAAGAAGCTTAATTAGCACAAAGGGGCGTTTTCATCCCAACTATACACCTTATATCAAAGCCCATGTACTGCGCCTTGCAGGGCAATTTCCGCCTTGTGTCCGTGGAAACAGGAGCGATGAGACTGCGTCAGGGTTGCCAAACCAGCATGCTGAAGCATCCTGAAGCGACCCTATACCAGGCAGGATCGTGCCACTGTCCTTCGAGAAGACAGGCGATGGAACTCGGTTGGAGATGGTGGCTGGGGAAGGTGCGTCTTTTTCTTGCCTGCTGGTGCTGCATGAAGTGGTTTCTACATGATTCCAACATGTTTTTTACAATTAGGCTCGCGTAAAATTCTGCCGGTGGAGGTTTACACCAAGACGTTCCATACCGAGTTGTGACTGTGGTACTGGCACCTGAAACGTTGCAACGGCGACCTCAGCTTAGTTCAAAAAGACCATCGCTGAGCATGCGGCGTACCTGAAGGGACTCCGTGCACTGACACTCAGGTGTTGTTTGCAGCCTGGAGGTGCGCACTGCAAGACAACACATCTCAGCACTATTGCACGTGTCGTGGCTCGCATCAGGTGGGTGCAGCTGGGCTGCCACTCAGTTGGGGGTCAGCAGAGGCTGAGCGATGGCGTGAGATGCATGGTTCGTTGTGCCAGGTTGAGAACACTTTCAAAAACGTTGCGGCTCAGAACCCCCGAAGCATTGACATGGTAGGCAGACGTGCAGCTTGTGCCGTCCTATCAAGTGGGTGGCCGAGTGTATAGTGCCGCTAGCTTCTCTTTGTACTCGTGCATCATCTGAAGCTCGGCTGGCTCCCCTTTCCCGGCTGAGATGGGATGCGCCTTTAAGGTTGAAGTCACTTCTGCGAGGACCGCGCAAAGAGCCTGATTGCAAGCCATCTCGAAAGAGCAGTGGTCAGCAACGGCTGCACAATGTGGAGGCAATTCAGCAAATTGACTAGTGACTAGGAATGGAGTGTATCGCCAGAATACTTTAGTAAATTTCGGCTTGCCAAGGTCGAAACGAAACGTCTCCTTTCTCCATGGTAGTCATCAACATGGAGAGGAGTCCGCCGTTAGCCGTGATCAGCATTGAGCTGGCCGCATCCTTGCTCGCGTCCTCGCCATCTCGTTTGGCGCTGGCGACTCTGGCTGCATCACATGAAGAGAGTCAGCCACAGCGTCTGAAAGCCCTCAGAAAGAATTCTGCTGGGGCAGGTGGCGCCGACAGGCTTCCGCTTCACCGAAGATTGCCTGGGCGGAATCAGCGCAAGCTTCCCATGCGAACTGAAACTGTCCTTGTGCCCGTAGCTGCCGGTCTCTTGCGCAGCTTCTGCACGATGCCACCTCAGGCGATGGTGGCTCGCTGCTCACCGACACTGATAAATGAACAGGCCTCTCGGCTCTTGTCACATGATTGTCCAAATAGTAACGCAAATTTTAAATACGTTTCAAAAATGCAGGAGGCAGCGGAGCTGGTTCCAATCAAAGCGTTCTTCACGGACGTGCAAGGGCTGAGCATCCAGGCAGTCTGGGCCCTGAAACGCCCCGTGCAAAGCCAGGAGATCCCAACGATGTCCCTATTAATTTATTAAGTACGCGGAATAGTAGATAGGGACAGTCATCTTCAGCCACCATGCCTCAAGCTGTCTAAAGTTACCACGGTGCAGTTCAACGCACACACTGTACTCATTGGCACCTATGCGAAGTGCACAGGTGCGAACTCCAGCCAAAGCTCCATCTCAAACTCCATGGTTGCTGGTCGGCTGGAACCAAGGTTCCCCGCACGTTTCTGCAGCTGCCAAGTCCACATGTCAGTCATATATCGCAGTGACGCTATGCTGGCGCAGGTGGGGGGGTGGTCGGTTGGGGTGAGGAGCCTGCCCAGCTCGCAGCATTCAACCATGCGTCGAGCTCGCTCGCTCCACCAAGCAAGGACAAGCTGGGCATTGACGTGCTACAGATGCGCAGCGCGCTGTCCTTGTGCCTGTTGTGTATATCGATGTCATGAGTCGCAAAAGCGTAGAGGGGTCAGAAAGGCTGCATCACCTGTGCAGTGTGTCGGGTTCCGGCTTGCTAAAGGTAGCCATCATGTACCCAGCCTCTCCTGATACAAGATCTGAGTTGACGGTCAGGCGAGCCGTGTCATGGAATGTCATAGACAAGCCGTTGCAGAAGAGCGCTTTTCAGTACAGTCCGTTGGAGGCTGCGGCTCCGTGATGAGCTGCTGCCAGGGGGAAGCTTACAGTTTGGGTCTCGGGCGGAATCAAGGCAAATCGCTCCAAACATGCGCAGTGGCATGTTCAGGCTGCTGCATCCACCAGAGCTTGTTCTCAATTGCTCAGGACGCCACTAGTGTTACTCGCTCATGCTCGCTCTGGATTGCTAGCTCTCAGGAGCCCAACTGCAAGAGATCTCGCTGCCTATCGAAGGCCCATAGCACGAGTACAGTAGTCTGGGTTTGCTTATGTGTTACCCGGCTACATCACGAAGGTTGTACAGCGGAGGCAGGATCTCTTGCACTGTCGCACGCTCGGCCATGATGGAAATGTTCTTGAGTGGCAGCAGGGGCACGCACCAATGCTCCTCGCATCTCTGAGGCAGTTGTCGTCTGGCTTGCAGCCAGGCACATATGCCTTTGCCATGGTCCAAGCATCTGACTGTTGTTTTTGAAATGGCTTGGAGCAAGTCCTGGATGCTCCGAGGGTGTGGGGGCGAAAGTGCCAGTGGCTGAGCTTCGGGGACAGTGTGCACCTAACCTCAAACGTCGGGCCACCAGCCATCATCAGCCATTCCAGGCCACGCGCACCTCCGAAGACGAACATGTTTTCGCTGCTGGTGTTTGGTCCGAGCCCTGCGCCACATGCTGCTTAACACATCCTGACACAGGCTCCAGTGACTGCAGTGCAAGCAATAGGTTCTAGCGGACTGGTGCAAGATGCAACCACCGCTGTGGAGGGTCTGAGGCTGAGATGTCAACAGCACAGGTGGAGGCGATCTTGTCGCCTGTGGCGCTGCGGTTTTCGGGATGCAAATTGAGCTCAGGCCCACAGCTACAAAGTGAGCTGCACCTGGGCCCTCGGCCATTGAGGTGGACCGCCTGGATCCCGGAACAGCTTTGCATCCGTATGGCCTCCTACGATATCTCCATAATTCTCAATAATATGCCTCAGACCTTTGGTTTCATTCTCGGCTCCTCTTGTGTCGCATCTTCTCAGGCGGCTGAAGCTGGGCAGGCAAGCAGTGTGATCGTGGGCATTGCCCTTAGCCGAGCAGCTGAGCCCAGAAACGTGCGGGGAGACTAAATTTGTGAGGTTTCGAGGTGCGCCAAGAAGTGAAGCGCGGGCTGGTTGGGTCAGTCAGGGCCCTAGTTGCGGGGGTGATGCGAAGGCTATGGTCACAAGGCTCGGCGGTTGCAGCAGACGGGTCATTGCGGCTAACTCAATGGCCCACAGGTGCTGATCACGCTTGCTGAAAATTTCAAGCACACGCAACGGGCTCAGAGAGAGCATTCACGATCGTCCATGCGTCTCCGCGGCGGGCTGCCGTGAAACGCAGCAACGGCGGCCCAGGTTGGAGACCCCTCACGGCATCGAAATACTGAATCCAAGCCTTGCGCTGTCACGCAGCCATGGCGCGAATGCCTGGGCAGACATTCGGATGGCCTGGAGCTTACTATGTTGCACTGTCTTTAGTAAGGGACCCCTCCCCCCCCAACAAATTTGGACCCTCTACAACAACATGGCGCGGGACCCCCCAAGTTTTGCGGGGGCAGGGGGGCCCCGCCCAAGGCCCTCAGGGCCTAAAGGCCTTGTAGAAGGCCTGAAGTTTTCCTGCCTTGCTAAGGACACTCTGTATTCTAGAGGGTGACGCAACAAATTGATTTAAGTGAGTCGGGCTGGCCCGTTGACTACCTATCACGAAATTTGTTTGGGGCCTCGTTTCGCAGTGGAATTCAATAGGCGAATAAGTTTTCGATACTTGTGATTATAGACTCCATCAATACTAAACACAGTGCAACATGACTGTGTCTTGGATTCTTTTGGCATCCTGTTGCTCGATGTTGCTGGTACAGTAAGGCACCGGTGCTGGCCACAAGAAATCCGAGTGTCGACGGCCTGAGGCGGACCACGTGCTCATCCACCTCGACCTGGCCCAGGCTTTGCTGCCAGGTGACTACGCGCCACAGCTGCACATTGAGATGATGATTTCTCAAATTATGGTCGCTTTTTGGGGTCTTTATAAGGCGGCCCCTCTTATTTAGGGTACCCAAAAAGGGACCCCATATGTAGAGAACTGACCAGATCCTGCGTACAAGGATTTCCGCATTCCCATCACGGTGCCGGAAGAGCTAGCTGACCCTCCGCTGCATTGCCATGATGTGTTGCACGTCTGGAAAGTGCAGTTGCCAACTCTGATGTGACCAAAATCTGCAGGCTTTCAACGTGTGGCAGGTGACACTGTGCAAGCCAGGGGGCTGCCTGCTCAGATATCAGAGCCAATGTGAGGATTGAAGCGCCAGAGTTCTTGAGCCGACTGACTCCACTTCTCACAGAGGTACTGCTGAGCCGTGCACAGCAGAGTCAGCGCGAGCTTTGTTAACGCCGCCTGGCCTGAGCAAAGGAGTCCAGTTTTAGGCAATGACCCGCCAGGGCCGCGCTAGGAAGATCTAGGAGGTGAGGTTGGACACTATCTTTTGATGCGTCCATCGCGACCCAGGTTTCCAGCGGCTGGTTTCAGCTTGGAGCTAAGCCTTTAAGCTAAGCCTACTCCTGCACACTCTGCACCATCCCGAGTTGACTTCTGCCAGTGACAGCGTGCTGCTGAAAACTGGCATGTGGTGAAAACTGCGCATGAGTGCGATGGCCTCTCTGCATACGTGGTTCTGCAAAGGTGCATGGCTCTAAGCACAGGTCAGTTTCATGGACCGGTGGCTGACATTGGGGTAACGGTATCTTCAGTCATTCTCAAGTTGTGCTACTATTTTTCCAGCCGCCTGCACGCTTTGCACTTCAACCTTCGCGACACGCATATACCAATTGCTACAATAGTCACTACAGTCGAGGGCAGCATCAAACAAAGGCCTCTGTCGAACCTCGAGGCAGTGCAGCTATGTCGGCCATGCATGGAGAACACACACTTCTCCGTGTTCTGCACTGGCTATGACGAGAGTGAGGGCTCCCGACCTGCATTTTTGGAAGCCCTGTTGAGGGCAGTTGCGTGGCTTGTCCAGCACACGTCGACCATGACACCCGGCATTTGTTCAGTCGGTAAGGCCACGTGAAGTATGCTTTTCAAGTGGTCCACATTCCCAGCGGATGTGCCTGGAAGGCCGCGGCAGCGAAGCCGGAATCATGCTGAGGAAAAGACATGATAGATCAATTTTCTGACAGGAAGAAGAAACATCCATTGACGTACAGTAATTTGATGTAATTTGGCACTTCAAGCTGCGCGAATGAAGCATCTTCCAATCACATGCTGCAAACCGCAGGTCCATCGTCGGTACCGTGAGATCCTTGCCCTGCATGAACAGTTGGCAGGCCGGCTTTGTTTGCAAATGGGTCTGAGGATGATTTGCTTGGCAAATGTCGAATTGACAGGTACACCCACCGGCCTACCGGAATTTCCGCCGAAAGCGCTGAATGGTTGGAGCTGGATATGGGGTGAAGATATTCCCGTGCAGACGCATGGCTGCAGTCAGCCTCGGCACGACTCTTGTTTGCTGGAGTCGCTGTCGCATGCTGAGCACTGCGCTTGGTCCGTCCAATTGTGAGCGAGCGACAGATGAGAGTGGGTGAGCCAGTTCATGAGTGAAGCCGAGTGGCAGAGTGGCAAACCCCATAAGAGGCACTCCCTCCCATCCACTAGATCTGATACAGCGTTACACATGCAGTATGCCACAGCATGCTTTGCACTTGCTGAAAGGCGTATAAGCAAGACCAACGAAACAGTTGTGCCACAAAGATTTCATAAGAATAGGAATCTCACATGAACATGGACTCTCGTGTGAGGCGCGTCGCAGCCTTTCAAAAGTATCTCAGCTGCACGGAGCACTCGAGTCATCGAGCGCATGTGCTGGTTTTGCTTGATGCTATGTCAATGTCATGGATCACCTCATTCCTTCCTGGTGACCGAGCGAGGCCCACCAAGGGTTCTCCCACGCCTCATGCAGGCAATCAGTTCAACTGCAATTAACTGGTTCCCAGTAGCCAAGTCAAGCCCATGACCAACAATCGCGCCGATGTCGATATCCCTTCTCACAGCATGTCGAAGAGCCTTAGAGTACAGGCTGAGTTTGCAGCGCAGACGACCGCTACCACCCTGAATTGGAAGAAAGAAACAGCCAAGAGAGATGTCACGCTGACAGCTTCGAAAGCTTCATACTAGTTTCCATGGATGTCTGGCAACCCGCCTCGTCCGATTGGACCATCGCCGGAGGGGAAAGTTGCCACGTTGGAAGTTTGAGCCTTGAGGCAGCACGTTGCACTTTCGCATGGCTAAGGTACTTTGCCCGCCTTCTGGCACGTGACGACCTGACCCAGATTCCTGGCCTGCAGGTGACCTTGCACCCAGAGACGACGAAAGACTTGTTTAATGTTGCCACCACGGGAAAAGTGAACATTCTTGCTTGGCAGGCATTGCTGGGGGTCGAACCTCCGGAGCCGGTGGCTTCGCTGGGAGTGGGGAGGTGGGGACAACCCAGGGATGTAGAGAATCCTTCATGAGCTGGCCTAGCTCTGCATCCCGGACTGCACCCAGTCCTTGCCGTGAGGTGGAGAATGGAGGAGCCAGATTCTTGCACAGCGGATGTCGAACTGACTGTTGGATGTGATGCCTTCTCTCCAAGGGACCCAGGTCGGCAGAGTCATGCAGAGCTCCCAAGTGTGCCGCGCAGGTAGATGTCCATGGTCCACTGCGTGGCACAGGCACGTGCTTGTTTGTGCAGGCTCCAGCCCCTTCGGTGGCACCATCGAGAACAATAAGCCCGTGGACACAGGGCTGCAGCAATCTTGGGATGATGTTCAAGAATGGCGGCTTTAGGCTTTTGATGCCTGCGCCTGCTTCAACATGCAGCTAAGGAGGAGTTCTTGGTGTTCATGGAGGTAAAGTTCTGACAGCTTCTCTCCTCGTATTTTCTGCTTGAGTTTAGTTTCCGACAGGGCGCGCCAATCAGCAGCGATCCTCTGGCGTCCGCGCAACCCGGTGAGCCGCTGTGGGTTAAAGGGCTACCGACCGGGGAGGAAGTGAAGCTCGAGGCCTCTCGACAACTTCTTCCTTGCATGCACAGAAGTAGCCTGCACAGCGCATGCCGGGCATGCCGGCGGCGCATGCTCATCATCTGCACATGCAGCGTGGCAAGGTGAGGGCAAGCAACGGCGTGGGGATTTCCGAGCCAGTCGCCCTGAGTCTCCTTTCGCCCGGTGAGCGCGCCGTGCCGCTATTGCCCGGCGTGCGGGTGCGCGCAGTGTGGGTCGAGGGCTGAGGGCACACCAATATTTGCTGGACGGCTGTCGCTTTCTTCTTCCTGTCTACAGCTTCCGGATGAACTCGTGATGCATTGTGCAGCTTATGCAGTTATGTATGCCTATTTTTTCCGTCTGGTTTTTCTTCCCGTCTGCAACGATCAGGCCGGTAATGGAAGTGTGTACGATGCAGCGCCCTTTCTGCACTGAGGCACACTGGATTCCGTCGGTACGTTCCGTACAGCGAAAAAACCATTGTGAGAACTCGCCTGTTGCTTTGGTTGATGTAGTGACCAGTCAACAGCCTTCAATCGAGGAAGCAAAGCCTGGCTGTTTGTAGTCAAAGAGGTTTCCATGCTGCAGTGAATCGCTACTTGTAGGAAACTTGCCATTGAACGTGATCAGCGAAGGTTGTGAAGAGCATCCCACGCAACAGCCCTGGATTCGTCCTGCTTGATTGGCTGAGACCAGCTCCTTTGAGCGGTGAGCAGCTGTCGTGTGTTTGCGAAGTGGGCGATGCTCCTTGGTCTTCGTTTTTGGGAGAGGGATTTACTCTTCGTTTGGGGGGGGGGGGGGTGGGGGCTCATCGTCCAGAATGCACCAGCTTCTCCAAGCTTCGCTAAAGACTGCCCCCTTCGGCTTCTGATAGCGGTTAGTCACTTTAGTCCCTTCATCAGAGGTTCGCCTGAGCTTTCTGTTAAGCCCGGATAAGCACGTTTTGTGAGAGCTCGGCTCCTGGTACTGTTTTCGTCCAAAGGCCGCCGGCCAGAACCCCATTGGCTGTAGTTTCTTTGTGCACTTGAACTGTAGACTAGGTGGGCTCCCTTGACTTTAGATCGCCCTAATGGCATCGGGATCAGGCCCGCTGATCACCATGTGCGGTTTCTGACGTAGTAAAGCAGATCTTTGAGGTCGCTTTCGTAGCGCAGATGCGCCAGAAACCTTTTGTTGTCAGACGATCGCGCGAAGCACTGGTAGCTGAGGACACGGCTCATCGAATGGTTCCTCGCAGCCAAGTCTTCCCTCAAAAGCAGGGCTTGGAAACTGGCTTTAACATCTTGACCTGAGCTTCACTTGACTTTGTGGAGCCAAAAAAGGGCCATGCCAAGGCGTTCTGCGCCGGTGCCTGTAGAGCGGCAGACGAATCAAAAGTGCTCGTGGCAAGTTCCCAGGCCTCACCTCGCAGATGCCCGCGCCGCAGACCGGATGCGGTGCACGTCTTTCGGTGCAGGCGCACACAGATGTTGCAGGGGTGGGGGAGGGGCTCAGAGGGGTTTGCTTCACGTTGCTTTGGCAAGCTTAGCCTGTGTGATGCATGCAATTAAGAAAGTTCATTAAGAAAGTTCTTGCTTTGTTCTAAGTGGAATTTCGAGGTTTTGACCGAAAGACGTGCCAGGCATTTGGCTGCCTCCTCGTCCTCTTCATGCTTTGATTTCGAAAGCTGGGCTGGAAAAGCACGCATCTGCCAACACGTCAGTCGGTGAATGAGAGACAGTGCCATGTCCTATGGACAAGGCGATGCAACACCTGCAACCTGCTGAGCAACGTCGATGCTCCAACATGAAGACCAATAACACACCTCGTTTGTGCCCCCGTCGCAGTGCAACGCCATGTACAACATCACCATCACCGGCGCTGCCTTTGCCTCTCCTGAGCTTCGGATTGAGGCGGGCTGTTGACGCACATGCGTAGCATGTCTAGCAGCTTAGCAAGTGGAGTTCCGCCTTCATGAGTGAGGTGTGTTAAGTGTTCTGTCGAGTTCTCGGTGCAGCCAGGATTTGCAGGCTGGTGAGGCATCTGCGCCCATCTCGGACAGTAAATGTGGAGCGTGCGTGACAGCTGCCGATGCAGTTGAATGCTGCTGTTTTGTCTTGTCGACACACGCCGACCTTCCACAGAGCGATTCTCTGCAGCGCATGGCCGACTATGTGTAACCTCTTCTAGTCATATCTGGTCTGCCTGGTGGGTGGCAACATGTGTAGCGATCTCGATCAAGCCACCCCTGAAAGTTTGCGCAAGACCAGATGAATTCACAGATTCACAGCCGACATGAACTCACCAATTGTGTCGGCTTTCAAGCTGTGCTAAGGCCAAACTACAGCAGCTGATCGCCTTAGGCGCAGCTGCCGGCTTAGCGCTGCCTGTGGGGGAGGCCGGCAGGGGAACCGGTTTTTATTGTTTAGGGGTTTAAGGGTTTGCAAAAAGGCGTTTTTACCTCTAGTTTCGGTATGTTGGCTTGAGCAGAGCTCGGCCCTGGTACCCGGCAGTCTCATAGGCCTGGATGCAAAGAAAAGGTGTTAGGGGTTTAGAGTTGCGACATGTCGAGATGCGGCAGGTCAACATCTCAAAGGTCAAGCTCATCCCATCCATGGCAGAGGTACAGGATCTTGCTGCCCCGTGCTCAGAGGCACTGTCTCTTTCCTGTCAAAGCAAGTGGCGTATTGCAAGAATTACCACCTATGAGGCCCCAACATCCTTAGTCATCTTTGACATGAACTTCGACCTCTGCTCCGTGCCACCAGACTTTGCGGCATGTTGAATAAATCTCAGGGTAATAAGATCGGTCCTCTGCTGTCTGTGCAGCCACAGCCGCGTAGCTCAGAAAGGCGCTGTGAAGTGCGTAAAGCATGGTGCAGTGATAAATGGCAGGTGGCTGTGGAGCCTGCGGATTTCCAGTTTGGCTTCATCTCCAAGGCAGCTGACTTTGTTGCACGGGCTGGGTGGCAAGAATTAAATTCGGGTGCCAATGTATGGGGTGGGCCGCCCACTACAATTGCCTTGTGGAAAAGTTCGCAGAAGCGCGGCTGCCCCACAAAGGATATTCGGATAGACAGCCCAGCCCATAAATTGGCGCCCGATAAATGACATCTGTGGGATGCGATCTCGGCCACTTTGCCCGGCGAGTGCTAGCCGACACAGATCTGTCTTGGCCTTGAAGATCCGAAGAGGTGAAGGGCCCTCAACTTTGCATTGATGTTCACGAAGCCTCACTGCCTTTGCATCTTTTGCTGCCAGATGCAGACGTACGCAGCCTTCGGTGTGCAGCGCCCAGAATGTCTGAAGTCCGAAAGCAAACGCCATGGTGGTCTTGAAGTTGTGTTTGGGCTTGCTCAGCTGGCTGAGCTTGCTTTGCATGATGTGTTTAAGCCCTCCAGGCCGGCACTGGGGCTACACTGTCAGTCCTGGAGTTTCTGAACCTGACCGAAACGAGCAGAGGCTCGACTCAGAGACGGCCCTGGCTGCGAAAGTCCATGGGAGCTGGCGCTGGAGAGCATGTTGAGGTTCGGCTGGGGCGAACAATGCCAGGAGCACAGCACCTCCGTGGCAGGGAATGCCCGAATTCCATGTGTTAAACAGTGTTGCTCTAGCATTGCATCCCCAGCATCGAGAGAATCCGACAAGGGCACGCAGCAGGGACCCTGGACGGGAGGCGCGTTGGCATGTCGTTTTCCGAAGCTGCGTTGTCTGAGAACATCAGATGCGTCTTTCCATCTTGTAAGATAGAGTTAAGCTTGGCAGCGCTTTCTCCTCACATTGCCCGACATACCGTTTGGCAGGCCCGTCCGATGGCGAGGCTGATACCAGCCCCGGCAACTCTGCTTTCGTCGCTGTCTTGCTTGGCCCCCAAGATGTGTAAGAGGGACTACGACTACCTTTTTGGTCTATGTTATCGAATGTTTGCATCCTCGCGGCTGCGACGGTTGAGCAGTTGCCGTGGGTACCAGGGTACCTCGGAGGGCAATTCTAAAAGCAAAGTCGGTTTCGCAACCATGCCTCAATATGTAAACCAAGGCATACATGGGGTGAGTGCAAGACACCTCTGACTCAAGGATCCTTGCGGTCGTCCTGGTGCTCGCTTCAACGCTTGCCGTTAGCGTATGGGTGGGGTGCCCATGACAGCGGGAGCAGCACGACTCAGCATGACCCACCAGTAATCCTTTTTGTTGGAGCATGTCGGTTGACCATCGCTGGCATGATAATACATATACACATATGGGCCGCCCCTTCTTAACAAGATCCACAACTGTCTTCATCTCTCCCTCCCTCTTCTATTGTTTGTCTTCTATTGTACACGTCGAAAATACCGCAAACACTGATACCTTCCTGTACCTTGGCATTTCCCCCTTATACTCGCAGTCCTTCATAGGGATTAGAGTACGCCCGATTATAATCCCTATTAAGGATGTTAGTATAAGGGGGAACATCCTAACCTGTGTAGTTCTTGCAGTATTGTACGAGCCCGTGTGGTCTTGCAAAGGCATGTGCTGAAACGGAATCTGTTTCAAGGCAAATCGTTTATGTATCCGGAATATGCATGCGTAAACTTGCCTGGCGTATTGTTTATGCGCCCGTGACTCAACCACGCTTTCAAGATGCACGAGCTCTGGCTCGGAGATGGTTGATCTCAATCTTCTTTGGGTGGTGATGTGGTGCTGCTGGCCGAAACACAGACTTTATTTGGTCTCGGGCCCTTGGGGTAGCCCGCCGCCCCCCCCCCCTGGCCTGCTGTCCACCCCTTCCTCTTCACAATCTCCCCCCCCCCCCCCCCCCCCCCCCCCCCCCCCCCCCCCCCCCCCCCCCCCCCCCCCCCCCCCCCCCCCCCCCCCCCCCCCCCCCCCCCCCCGGTCGCTTCAGGGCACAACATTGAAATCTAACCTAAACAAAAGAAAGGTCACGGGAGAGGAACCAGAACATGGGCTGAAGAGGAAGAGTGGGGGGGGGGGGGATACCATGAGTGTTGGGGGACAACATATTTCACGCCACAAAACCCGGGGAGGATTAGCCAAAAATGTGGGTTGAAGAGGAAGGGGTGGGGGGGTGGTGGTTGGCCGCCCTGCACAATGTATGCACCCGCCTGAATTTTACAAAACTTCATATTGTTGCGAGATCAGACCTTGCCATTGATGTGCCGCTTGTTCTCTTGGTGGACTGCGTCGACATTTGCTTAAACGAAGCCTGTTTCACGTTCATACTTGCAGACTGCCTCCACCGAAGTTTCCAGTTTCCGGATTCCACCCCCCACTCTCCGGAGTGGAAATCTCGAAGCTTTTAGAGGGTGTAAATCTTGATTTGAAGGGGGTGAGCAGAGATATATGCACCTTTACATATACAGATTTGGATTTTGATATGGAGTCTGTTTTCGACTAGTTGTGCAATGTCTCAGATTCAGGATTCAGATTGCTCATGTTAGCAGAATTGTGCCGCATGTCGCATGAGGCCAAAATGCGCCGAGCTCGGCTAAAGGTGCCGTCCTCGATGAATCTTGCCTACGGCCTGGGAACAAAGCTGGCAGACCTGTCAGCATGAAGCAGGATATGATGACCCAGCCGACCTAAGGGAAAGGGAAGATTTCTGGGCTTTGCCTAGCGGTGTTTTCAGGAAATTGGGTGAGCCGGAGGCTTCTCTGCTACAGGAGCGTGACACCAGCATCTTCGCGCAACAAGCCGCTTGCCACACCTGGACATTCGACATGCTGAGCGCTTTCAAGGTCATGGATGCAGCGGAAGTGAACACAGTAGCACAGTGTCCGGACGCCGACAGAGCTGGAACCTGAGCTTTCAGAAGCTGAGATTGGAACTTCCGGCCACTGTGTAGGGAGTGTGACACAGTGTGAGCAAGCGATGAACCTCCGTAAACCCACACCTGATCGAACCTCTTCACAGCCAACAAGGTTTTGGCACATGTGGCGTGTGCCTTTGCGCCAGCAGATGTTGAAGACGACAAGGCAAGCTGCCATGTGGTGCAAGACCCTTGCTTCCACAGGGTTACTTCGTCGCAGAGCCCTCACTTGGTCCAAAGTTGATGAGATCACAGCTTATGCTCATGATGCTGATTCTGCAGAGAAGTCTTTTCGTGCCATCGGGGGACGAATATAAAATCATCAGAACATGCTTGGAAGCAAACCAGGCCCAGACTGGGTCTGCAGATAATCCAGCCGAATGCTGCTTCTCAGCGAAGGTTTTCCGAGAAAGCTGCCTCGATCTCTCCGAAGGAGATATCGTGGAAGTTGTTGCAGGCGCCGTGCACCCAAAGTAACAACTAGGCGTGGGAGCGTGGACAGCATGACCCCCGCACAGATCCTGCAAGGTGGTGGTGGATGGTTCTACGGCCGTGTCATTTCAGGCTGTTCGGGCCAGCTGGGACTCGGGTGAGCTCAACAAGTTGGCATCAGGAAATGGAGACGTCGCTCGCATGGGCTACTTCCCTGAAAATCGAGTGCAAGCACCTCAGAAGGTCTTTAGCACTTTAGGCCATGTAGGCCACACCTTTCAAACGGACACAGTACAAGGTGTCAGGATGTACTCCATGTGGTGTTTGGCCCAAGCTCGTTCCAGCAGTGATCGCAGCTTAGCAGTCCGGAGCATCTTCACAAGCTCCCACCATGGTCGCGGGATGCATGGCTGCAGCTAGCAGACAGCAGTGGTGGTGCTTATGTGGATGAAGTCTGGGCAGAAGATCCATGGGTGGGATCCCACGAAAAAGAAGGTAAACGATTAAGCAATTGGCCCAATCAGGCCTCTCTGGTGTCAGGTTTGAGCGATGTCTTACAAACCCGAAACCCGAACCCTAAACCCTAAACCTTCGCTCTTCGGAGATGGTGCTGCAGAAACCCTAAACCCTGAACCCTAAACCCTAAACCCCCAAACCATGGTTCTGGGTAGCTTCTCCTGAGGCCTCGGAGTGAACTACCGGGATGCCCTCCCCTTCGACATGGCAAACTATGACCCGCAGAAGGAACCAGCCGCAGGAGCCGAACACGTCGTAGGGTTTTTAGGGTTTGGGGTTTAGGGTCTTAGGGTTTAGGGGTTTAGGGCTGAGGTTTCAGGTTTTCGGGTTTTGGGGTTTAGGCCGGCAACGCCCTCAGTCCGGCTACAAAAACGGGTTTCGGGCAGGGTTATCGTTTATAGGGTTTGCCCCAGTTCTAGACAGCCTCAGTTTCGCCTGTTGATGCAACCCTTGCTAAAGGCAAGAAGGCCTTGCTTTCAGGTGTTGCCGGCAGCCTCTTCAGTCTGTGCTAAAGGGTTTAGCGCCTAGTTTAGGGTGAATCGTGGGGAGGCACACACTGCTTGGAAGCGAACACTTCACATCTTTGGAGGGTTCAGTGTAGCACCATGGTATAGAGCCTGTGGTCAGGAACCCCCGACAGACAGACACACACACACACACACACACACACAGACACACACACACACACACACACACACACACACACACGCTCTGCGGAGGGAAAGGTCAGACGAGTCAAGCCTAACAAACAAAACCCCTCAGAGAACAGCCTGAAGCCATGATTCGCGCTACAGCGCGGGCTACGGCCCACTGACCTAACAGCTGAACGCTACGCATGGAGAGCCGTACAGTGCCAGCACACGGCACGCCTGCCGCTTCGCAAACATGCAGCATGAATTTGTCAGGACGTTGGCGAGAGGCCATTGCTCCAGATGTTGAGATCAAGGCCCACGCACAGGGTGGTTTGTCATGCTTGTTCTGGGGGGGGGGGGGCGGGGGGCGGGGGGGCAAGGGCAGGCATCAGTCTATTCTTGCGCAGATGGCCTGCAGGAAGAATCGAACTCTCGCGGATGGAGACGACGGCCATCCAAGATCGAAGCTGTCTCCCGATGCAACATAGCACATCAAAGCCCTGCAGACACAAAGAGTGTATCAAAGCGTGCATGGCGCATAGTGCAGCGCGTACTTTCTTGTGAAGAGAGCACAGGCCATTGTGGACGAGCTCGAAGACAAGAGGCGCCGCAACTCCCTTGGAAGGTCCGCCGGCATCAAAGCCAAGCCCCTAAAGTCTCGTGAAACTCTTCGAGGAATCCGGGAAGTGATGTGTGGGTGCACACGGACGCAACTTAGTACTTGGGTTTATGAAGCTCATGATGACTGGCTCCGCCCCGGCAACCCAGATTCCCACAGCTAGAGGACAGAAGGAAAGATTAGGAAAGTAAAGGCGATGCCCCCCCCCCACCCCCCGCCCGCCCAAAATGACGGGTGCACCGCAAGATTCATCTGCAGAACAGTTGTGTCAAGCCCAATGTCATTACCTGCCGCCTTCTAACATGTTCGTTGGGTTTGGCCTGCGGATTCCGAGACTGGGGCCAAGATGCTTGGGACCCTGCACAACCTTGACAGGGGGAAGGTCATCTATAAGGTAGAACAGCTGAGGAACAGCAAGGGAAGGAGCATACTGGGAGATGGGGACAAAAAGATTACGAAGACCGAGTTGAAGGTCATGGATCAGGATTAGGAGTCTCGCGCACGATCTCGGCCTCCAGATCCGGCACCGGATAAAAAGAACCCATTGTCCAGCGAGACGACTGGCCTAACCCGTCGACATTCCGTCGGCTCTTAGAGCATTCGGAGCTTGCCGTATGAGCTTGATGAGAGGTACCGGCTCCAAAGCTGTGGAGCATTGGACGAAAATCATCAAAATGTTCGAAGTGGAAGAAGACTTGGGGGAGGTCTATGTGTGCCTGCGACGACCTTGATAGCAAAGATTTCCCATCATCCTTTCAATGAAGCAGGGAAGGCAAGCAGCCCATCCAGAACCAACGAGCATACAGGGTGTATCAGGATGTGCGCTGGTTAAACCCATTGGAATGCTGATGGACATACCAAGCTCTTTACACGAGAAGCATCTGCCACTGACACTTGTTAGTTAACCTTTTCCAAGGCGTCAACTTTCTGGGTGTGTGTGTGTGTGTGTGTGTGTTTGTGAGCGTCTCTGGTTTTTGTGTCTCTGTGTGTTTGTGTCACTCTGTGTGCGCGTGTGCGTGGGTGTCTGTGTGCCTCTGCGATCGCTTGCACCTGTTTGCATGTTGTAACGTCTTTCGTTTGATCATTCGTCCAGTCGTCGGTTCTTCGCCACAATTGCCAGGCGCCCCTCCAAGATCATCCAGGCTCCATTCGTAGCATGTGGCAAAGATTGAGGGTCCTGTCATGCGAGCATTTCGACTGGAGTATCATCAGACTAAGAGAAAGAGAAGAGCGACAGAAAAAACAAATTAACTTTCAGAGTTGCTTCGAGCCATCCCATCGACTCGCTGCGCTGACAGCTCTGGCAGGATGTTTCCAAGCTCATCCTTGGAAAGTAAAAGGACCATGGCGCGACATGGCAACACGTTTCAAAGGTGATGCATCCGGCCCCCTGACCGTACAGGCAGCTGACACATGTGAGAATGGCATGAGACGCTTGGAAGTTTGAGAATGACAGCTGGCAAGATGCAGGCACAAGATTGTCAGAAATTCCTTGAACTTGCAGGCGTGGACTCTTCCTGGGCGGCCGGCAAAGATGAAGAAATAAATGTATTAAACTGCATGGAAATGCAGGGCACAGTGATGAACCTTCAGCAGGGAGCATGGGCAGAATTGATCCGATTTGTTCTTAGAGAGGGCTGCATGTTTACGGAGCCTGTCAGCTGGGGTGCTCCTTGCCCAGAATGGCAGTCAGGTTCCGGACACTGTTGCCTGAACGGAAAGGCTTTCAAAGCTTTGGGCGACTCAGTCGCCGATCCTGTCAATGGCTCCAGCCCAGAACCAATTGTTCTCATGTGACCCTGTGCCGAAGCTGAGAGACACCCTGCTGAGGAGGTCATCACTGCAAGAGTGTCGTGCTACCCAAGCACCAACCATGGTGCAGTTGAAGAATTCAAGCCCCGGAACCTCAGTGACTTTTTCAAGTGCTTAGCCACAGGTTGCCTTCAGCACTTCTTGCTGACATCCGATTCAACTTCGATGCTACTTGCTACTTACGAAAGTTATTCAAGTGGTGCCCAAAGCTGTCCACTCCACCAAGTCAAGCTCGTTAGCTATAGATGAAGAGGAGAGTTGTCCGTAATATTTGAAGTTGTGATCCGAGTCTGAAGCTGCGCAGTGTTCGGGGGGGTCCAGCTGACCCTGTTAAGCCAGAGCACGCAACCCCCGAGCGACGAGCTGCAAAGACAAGATGTCTTGCACAGTGTTGCGTATAGACTTTGTATTACGGCCATTGACAATCCCGAGTCATGTCTCATAAAGGTGTTGCCCAGCATCTCCCAGCATTTCAACATGCCAGCACCCGAACGTGCACATGTTCGAAACAGTGTACTTGCCAAACAGCCTCATGTTTTCACGCCTTGCGGCGTTGCTGGCTTCATTTGGTCTTTGTTTGAAGGTCCACATACGGCCCACGCTTGGTACTGTGTAACTAGCGTGACATCTCTGACGTTTGAAGCTCTTATGATATCTTGGGGATGGACTGGAGCAACACATTTCGCAGAGGAGATTGGCTTTCGTAGCTGTTGCAGGAAGCACCAGGGCAGGATGTAAAGCGAACGACACGGCCTGTGTGAAGATTCCAACCTGCGAGACAGCGCGAAAGACACTCTGCCCTTCGCATCGTGCACATTCAGGATGCTGTCATGCTGTGCAAGGGGCTCAGGCTACAACTGTCATGTGCAGAATCGCGAGGTCATGGATTGGCAAGATTCCTCGCGCAGAGGCTCGGCCATGCCAGGGTTGCAAAAGTACGAAAAATGCCGAGCTGCCAGAAGATTTGTTTCAGGTTGCTTGTGCGGACCAGCACGCGCTAGTTTTTGTAAACCATGGGTCCACAGCTCAGCTTTCGGTTGGACACCTGAAAGGTACTGCTCGCTCGCGTCGCTCACCATGTTGTTTTGAATGTCGGTCGTCAGGGCTTGCCCTCGTGCAGCAACCAGAAAGACCGTGAACGCTTTTTCGTCGATGACCATCTGGACTTGGATGATGCTTGACAAGCTGCAGCAAGTTTATACCAAGATTTCATCACAATGGTTCACGACACCGACCGTTCACAAGCAATTCCAATGATTCGTGCGATGGGGGAATCACGTTTTTTCGGATACGACCGGTTACGGATTGGCTGGGTTCGCGCGATTGGTTCCCGTCTTCCATATGCATGAGTATCTTTCAACCGAGGGTCCCGACCGTTTCCGAGATGGGTGCAGAGTTCGATTGGGTTTCTGGGACTGGGTGGGGCGGCCGGTGTCCACAATCCTCATACGAACGGCCCACACCGTTCGCGCGAAAGTTGATGCCCCGCAAAGCAGGAAGGTTGGGGAGGGAGGCAAGGCGGCCGCCCACGGCCCAAGGGCTTCCTGCCAGATTTCGCAGAGGCAATGGTGGAAGGTCCGTGAAAAACCCTGGACACAAGATTACGAATTGTGATTGGCCCTCGTCGTTTGACGAACAAGGCAGACAGCATCAAGCCGATTGTAAAAGAACCGAAGAACACGCGACAGTGCCTCGCTCCTTGCGCTGAAACCCGAAAGCCATCCTCAGATCCCTTGAACCCGACAATCTGTTGCAATCCCTTTCGAGGTTTACCCCGGAAGACGTCACCGAGGGCGAGAACTTGCGGGATAATTGCGGGCATCTCATATTTCCGTACATTTCAGTGCTGGGTGCCAGACTGGAGCTTGTTTCCGACCGGGAACGTGGCTGCACGAACTGGGCAGATGAGTGCCTGGAGGTCTGCACCTCGAAGCAGGTGAAGTGGTGGAGGCAGGACGGAGCGACTCCTTGGAATTGCGTGTACGGTTGTGGCTATTGGGGCCATGGTTCTTGCCAATCATTGTGGTGCTTGAGGAGCTGGTCCGGGACCTCTCAAATTCCCACTCGCACACTTAGCTATATACTCTGCTTCCACATCAGTCGACTGCAGGTCTTGGCCGGCGGTTCTGGCTGGCTCTACGGCCAGGCTATCGGCCAGAATGTGGATCTAGGGCCCATAGCCGGCTCAAACTAAGTCCCGCTGGCTCTCACGGGTCACATGGTGAAGCCTCAGCAGAACCCTGTCAGTTTCGTCAGCCACCAGTTTTCATTCTAGCAGGTGGCAGGACATCCTGAGCGCGCAGGCTACTTCCCAGAAAATCGGGCAACTTGGCTCGGCTCTGCCCTCAGGTCCATAACGTTTATCATCAAAGGCCATCAAAGCAAGGCCGGACATGCCCGCAAGTCCAAGTCCTCACCCCCCCTTGCCCATGCCTGTGCCCATGAACCCTGCATTATACATCTGCGCAGCTTGCAAGGTTCGTGCGAGGAGAACGACGAAGCAGCCAAGACTGACATGCACCCGCATTGTGGATGACGCGCACAAAGCAACGAAGAGCACATCCTATGTCGCATCCTTCCACCGTACACCATGACATCACCTGACACCATGGTGCTCTCCTACAGGCGCCGGCCCCTTGTGATAATCGCAAAGTGTGCAGGACCGACCAGGGCGTGCTTGCTCCTTATGCCACCTTGTGCCTGTGTTGAGGTATCGGGCTTCTTGCATACTTGTGTGCTCTTGAGGCTGGTTAAAGTGGTTGCAAACTACTCGCCTGGCAGTTTCTTGGCTCAGCCAGACGATCCGGGAAATGCGAGCTACAAGCCTCAGCTCTGCTCTGCAGGTCCTGGTGACAAGGAGGAAGAGGCTGCGCTCTTAGCGGATGCTTGTGTGCATTCCGTACACGGCTTCCCAATCTTTTGCAGCTCAGTGGTCATGGCCAAGACCGATGTGCAAGTGATGCAGTGTGATGGTACACGAATCGCACATCGCACCGTAGGCGAATCAGCAGGTATTGATAGTGTGCTCAAGGGAGATTGTGGCCAACTGTGCCGGATCATGCCCTCGAGCTTGCCCCACAGGTGACATTTGCCGAAAGCTGCCTTGCACTGGCAGAGGCAGAAGCAGCGGCTAAAAACTCATACTATGATATACTATGACTGCATGGCAAGTCCAGCTGCTGATGTGTCACCTTGCGAGAGCACGCAACCTGCTAGGGCGATGTTGTGGAGGCTGGGAGCGCACGGCGTAGAGACTTGAGCTGTTCACCTGGAGGGTCCATCTTGCGAGTGAGGTTGCGGCGAGCGGTGGTGGTTGGGTGTATGGCCACGGCCTTTTCATTCAAAACTATAGGTTTCCCCGAAAGAAATTGATTGGTGCATGTAGCTGAGGTCGTGTGGTCGGATCTCCAGAACGCCATGGGTATTTCCCGGAGACTCGTGTGCCAAAGCCTCTGAGCAGACTGTCGCTTCTGCATACCAGACCTACAATTACCTACTCCGCCGGTCCGTGTGAGTTCATAGCATCAATACCCTATGTGTTGTTTTTTCAGCTTGACCAACGTTTCTGACCGCAAGGTCATGGCTCGGAAAGCATCATTCTCGGATCAATTCCCAAGGAGTCAGGATGTTGAGAAGCAGTTGTCTAACTTCCGATCACGGCATGGAACCATCTTGCAAAGTCCTCAAACGAGGCCCGTGGAGCGAGATATTGCGGACAACGAGGCTCATTACATACACATCATGGCTTCTTTTCACTTCCATTTCTGGACATGCTGTGGCTTCCGACACGATGATTCATTCCTCAAGCTGCTTGACTCCCCGACACCAAACCACTTTTGCAATCTTGAGGAGGGCCATGCCCGCGTCCTTAACTCCGCCGAGCTGGGTCCTTACGCAGCAACACCGGCTAAGGATCCATTTCAACTTGGGTGATGCTGAGTAAAGTAGTCGTGCGGATGCTGGACATCTGGAAGCTTGACATCAGGGCAAGCATCTAGTTCCTGCAGTAGCAGCATGTCAGCCATGTCTGGGCCAGTCGTCTTGCCATTCTCATGCTACCTGCGCATGTCTGCGTGCAGATCTTGTCCCACCCGTCTTCATGTTGAACATTGCACTCACCTCGTCTCATAAGCGGCTCCCCGGCACCCAGGGAAAGCGCTTTGCGAGAAGCTGCCGCTGCTGCCGTAGCGCAGGCCTGTCAAGCTTGAAGATGGCGACTGAGAGCTTGCGCTGGAATGGGGTGCTGCAAGTGTTTTTTTGTCGTCGTTTTAGGCTCCACATGAAGCCAAGTACATGCAATGACGAAGTCCTGGGTCAATCAACCAGCAACACTGTGAAACTTTGTGTGGAATATTAAAGTTCGCCTTGCTATCCGCGCGGGTTGACGTGTTGATATCAGTATGGGGAGATGGTAATAGACGTTGATGGCATTGCAACACCGGCAGACATGCCGGCGATTACAAGATCCCTCTGTCACAATTTGTGTGCAAAGAAGTTGTTGTGCCTTGCTTGGCCGAGCATGGTAAGCTGATCGCTGATGCGGTGCCACGCACAGCGGCGATGTTGGATCTCGGCTGTTGCCCTGCGGCCTCACCTTCGTTTGCCGCGGCATTGCCTGGGCCGCAGGATGAGGGAGCCGAAGAGACCATGCCAAATGAGATAGAGGACGATGTAAAGGATGTAGACTTGAAAAACAACAAGTCTGGCATAATCTATGCACGTAAAGACCAGCTTAAGGAGTATTCAGGGGCTCCCTGGAAACGCTGTTGTGGCAAGATGGGAAGGCTGTGTGGCCTTTGCGTCAAAAAGAATCCTTGCACCAAGGTTATGCGTCCCAAGCTTCACAAAGCCTTACAGCCGCCGCTGAGGTTCAGGCACACGCCATGATTTTTTCTTCCACACTGCATTTTGGGGTTTGACAGTATGGTCTTCCAGGAAAAGAAGAGGATCATCCTGACATTTTCGGGCAAGGCGGCATGGACCCGGTTGCGGGGCTTTGGCATAGACGATCCTGAAATGCTTGGGCGTGTGACGTGAGGGCCGTTCATTTGATCAGGTCCTCGCCTTGGATGGAAGCGAGCTGTGGAATCGATTGGCAAAAGTCGGGAACCCACGAGGGACAGTTGGGACAGTTGCATCTTGCACAGTACCAGTTTGGGATCACTTCTATAACTTTGCATGCGGGGGGGGGGGGGGGGGTTCGCAAACACAAGAGTTAAAGCCAAGGCACCGACGACAAGAACAAGCACATTTCATGCGTACAAAACCAGACAGACCGTGTCACGTGCGCTGTCCTAAGCGGGTCCTCACTGCCCGCACAGAGCCCTCCTTTGAAGTTCGAAAGGCGCGTGCGCACAAACACACACCACACATATACATATACATATATATATATGTAATATATATATATATATATATATCTATATTTATTTATTTATTCTTTTTATTTACATATAGATACATATATATATATATACATATATATATATACATATATATATATATACATATATATATACATATATATATATATATTCACAGGATCGCGCACTTTGCAGAACGAGCGTAGTTCGTTGCGTTGCTAGTGTCTACGACCTTTTTACTTTGAAAGCACGTCCGGCTCATCAGCCCGGACATCTCCCCAACTTATGGGCAGCCTCGTGGCAGTGGGCCACTGCCCCCCGCAAAACTGACGAGGAGAGTGCGTACACGCACATGCGCACACTCTGATTAGGCGTGATTGTGTTGGTCGACGAAAGAACTTCTGTGGCATCCTGCATGATCTGTATGTTGTAGAGTCAAAGACAAACTTGCCGTGTTAGGAATGGCTGGCTTGCTTGCACATCACCGACTGACCCCCATGTTTGCAGACCCGTGCGCGTGCCGTCCTGTTCCATGGCAGCCGGTTTGGGGAGTGTGCAGAGATGACAGCAACGGCGTGAAGCCAGCTTGCAGTGAGTTAAAAGGAGTCACAAGCATGGATGTTTCAACGATACACGGAAAAAGACGCGCGCGCCCCCGGTTTCACTCGCTACTTCAGCAGTTTAAAAGCCTCTGTTTACTGCAAGATCCGGGGGGGGGGGGGGAACTTTTCTTCTCTTTCATATCTTTTATCCTCCGCAGGAAGGCCAAGAAGGTATCATTCACAGATATATGGAAACCAACGCACCCCTGCACAGGAAAGCTTTCCAGGATAGCGCATCTAGCCACTGGACATGCAACTTCGAACGTGGGAAATTTGCAGAAGCTTCTCAGTCTCAGGTCATGAGCACAGCTGGGGCGAACATCGAGACCTGTGGAGGTACTTTTGTGCAGATGCAGAATGTGGGCGATGCAGAGGCCGACGAGGCTGTTCGGGCTCGCCACATGCTTGTATTTAGAATGGCAGCAAGACCTTGCCAGACCACGGGGCATGTGTCGTGACAGTGGACAGGTGCAAAGCTTCTCCGCCTGCTTCTTAGACAAGAGTCTCTCGCACAAGAATGCCAGAGGCACACCGTGGCTCAAGAGCAGATTCTTCCGGAGGTCAGTGCTTTCGGGGCCTGCATCTCTCCCGCAGTGTTGACGGTTTTGGCCTCGAATGGAATCCACGACACCACCCACGACCCACAACTCCACGATCATGTGGTCAGGAGGACGCAGATGACACTCACCTGGGCTGTACCATGTTCGTCAAGGCGACTTCCCCTGCAGATCGTGATGTGAGCTTCTCTTCGTTTTCAGGGTCCAGCCAGAGATTTCAGCTAGCCTTAGGCCGAGGTTGAAAAGAGATGCCCAGAAATTGTCTGAGCTGGAGCAGCGTCAATGTTGTCAGTTGCGCTTCAGGCAATCCTCCCAGCAGATCGCGTGCAGACGTTGATGAAGCTGCTGCAGACAGAGAGCCCGGCCCAAGTCTACACCGCGTGAGCCCTGGCAAAGCAGATCCAAGAGCTCTCAGCTTGATGTCATGTGGTTACATTGCAGCAGTACCTTGGGAGATTGAAGACTTCCAGGTTTTCACCCGACGATCAACCCGACGATACCCAGTGGAGTGCAGGTTCTTGTCGCTTCCAGATTCCAGCCCAGGCCAGCCTGAGCTCCGCAGATCAGAAATCGACACCGCTAGGCCAGCAACAAGATCATTGGCAGTGTTGCTTTTGATTGCATCAGCCAGGACACTCTCAAAATCGCACTGCTGGGGCCCCCCGCTTTTCGGTACCCATTTTGGGAGTGTGTGGGGAGGAGGTGAAACATGATGGGAGGCTTTAAATCGATGCCAATAGCCTATTTTTCTATTCGCATTCCAAGAACCAAGGAAACTCAAACAAGGGTCTTTACTCTCTGGTTCACCCCCTATTGAACCCAGACGCAAACCCCCCCCCGCCCCCCCCGCCTTAGGGGCTGGGCCATCTCAGTCAGTGGGTGAACAGGGGAAGTTGGCGCACATTCGAACTGTCCCTTCGGAGGGGCAGCTGCTCAATGAGAGTTCTTTCTTGGATGCCCTAAAAAAAGTTTATGCGAAGCCTGTGAAGTGTGGGAAGTGCCGCAATTTGGATGAGCCTTTTTTGCGTCCCTTGCAGCATTTCAAGAGCATCTGGCTGCTTGCAGAACATTGCCTGTCGGAGCTCGGCAGCTCGCAACACAACGGTACATTGCATTTGCCTGGTGCTCGGTGAAGGCTACAACAAGTCGAAAATGGTAAGTCCTGATGTAGATGGGAGGCATATTAGAGTGCATGCCGCATGCGAGACTGAGGTTTGGTGTCGATAGGTCAGGGCAACTGGCCAGAATTACGGCAACCAAGCGGCAATAGAGCTGAGATGAGACACCACGGTTGATCCTGAGCTGAAATCATGTTTGCCTGAGGAAACTCTGACTCAATTTGGGGTCAGTGTGTCCGCGGCTCAGCGAGCAGCTGCAACAAAGTTCAGCCAAGCGGCTGCGATCGACCAACGCTTGACCCAAAGCTTGCCTCACAAGGTCCAATCTGCATGTCCAGAGTGGCAGTGCGGCGGCTCAGATAAGACTCTGTTGGGCGTTTCGTCAGAACCAGCTTCGCACTGCACGTCGAGTACTCTGACCTTGCAGCCCTGCAAAGGTGCTGACAGTGGGAAGTGCGATTTCGTCCCGTGCCCCACAGGTGGCCCGTTGGCGCTGCTCTGAGCGGTAGCATGGACGCATGCACTTTGCACTTTGCATCACTTTGGGCATTGTGAAAGCCAAGGCTGAGAATCGCATTCGGATTCGGATTGACACAAACGCCGTGGACATCAGTAGGCCCAGACTCAAGCTGCTGCCGCTACTTGCTGTAGCATACCGACACCTCTCGGTGCCAGGCTCCGGAAAGAAATTCAGCGCGTGGGGGAAGAGTTGGGTTATGCCGCTGTGCTACGTTCTGTCACTATGAACAGGAATGCGGCAGAGAGCGCAGTAGCGTTCCCAGCCATGCATTTGTGCAAGACTTGAGAACACGCGTTGAGGCAGTGACCTGCTTGACGCTGGATGCACATGCTCAGTTTCGTACCTTCACACCGTGCCGAGCTTGGTTGAGAATGGCCCACATACTGCACAAGCCGTGACTCAAAGGGCCAGCCAGCATAACATGTCTCCACAACTCCAGCTACAGTACGAGTACTGCTGGTCGGATTGTTCTCGCTGAAGTACACCTAGACAACCGTCGAAGCCTTCCTCAGGAGTTACTTGCTTCGCCGTCGCGCCTTCGTGGCAACCTACCTCATGGAGACCAGAGCGAAGGTGCGAACCGAAGCTGTCTTGGGAGGTAGATTATAACGGCTGGTCGAAATTCTTGACTACCGATCTGCAAGGCTAAACGCCTTCTTCGCCGTCGGATCCCTTATGGGAGGAGCATTTGTCTTGAAGTAAGTTGCCTTGACAGCTTGAAAATGAGTGCATGACTTCAAGTGTCTTGGCGTGCAGAAGCTCATCACACCGAGAGTCTTGCAGGAACAAGCATACAGCGTCTACATGGTTGGCAGGACTATGACGCTCCCGCCTTCGTGCGGTTTGTACAGCTTTTCAAGAGCCGTCACCCAGGCTCAGGGCTTCTCCATGCTGGCATACGCCACCCATTTGAGAATGGTGTAACACTGGTGGAAACGAAGGGGAAACCTTCGTGACTGCTTGCAAAGCGAGCCAAGGCACTGACCAGTCACAAATGATGCTCAGACAATGGATGTTTGCTTGTGCGGCAGCATGTATGGCATGGTAAAATATGGTGACCTTTTACTCACCGCACTTGGCGTTGACGCATGTTGCAGGATGCCATAAGCCCTTCACGAGCCGTCACAGGCAGGATGCGCTGAAAGATGATAGACTCTAATAGATCTTGCATGTGGTGCCGAGTGAGGCAATGACGACGTTGCCGCGTAACGGGCGCGGCCGTGGCCCTCAAGGGACTCTGATGGTCTTGGCGCTTTTAGGCAGGCTTTGGTGCAACTGCTCCTCCTTTCGGTGCTGTAAGGCCCTGCGACTGGACTTGTGAACTTGAGACGTTCGCATGTTAGGTTCCGGGGGGCTGTAATTGCCACCGGCTTTACACCAAAGACATGCAAGCCATGGTGGCAGACTCTGTCCCAGTTGAGCTTTCAATGGCTCCTGTGGCAGTTTTGAATTCTTGCTCAGACACTGTTGCTTCGTGCATGCCACATCCGCTCCGCTGCAACGTCACTCAGTTACTCTTTTGGCTTGCGAGCTTGTGCAAGCCTGCGGATGCTTTGCGGTTATTGTCTCTTGCCGGAGTTCGGGCGCATGATCCAAGAACTTAGCTGTACCCAATTTTAGATCACGGCGTACTTCCGACTTCTGGGTTGGTCAGCGCTCACTTCGCAGAACGCCTCGTGCGTTGCGAGACTAAGCAACGCTGAAGCTTCAGCAGACATCAAAATCAGCATTTGGACAGCAGAGCCCACCATCAAGGGCTTTAGTCGATGGGCAAACTAGAACATGTCAGCACCATTAACTTCGAATCAATGGCTGCGCGTGTGAATCTAGAATGCAGTCTACATGTAGCGATGTGTTAGGCTGCAGGGTCATGCCTGACCAGATGATGTCAGACGTAGTGAGTTTGACAGTTGTTTTTTTGCCGGCGTCGGGATGTGCACAACTGATGCTTGGACCCTCTTGCTCATGGAAGGGCATGTGGGAGGGGGCTGGAGGATCAGGTACATACAATATCTACGGTGGAAAGGACATGGCCACATTGCTGGTTGCTCCATGTTACACTCACTGTACTCCACTAAGTCGGTATCGATCGGCACCAAATCAAGACATCAAGCTTCTGCTTCTCAGACCCGCAGGAGCAGAGACGCACGAACTTGTGGACAATAGCATGCGAGCATTTAGCCGCAATTTCGCGAGCCGATGTGCTGCTGGACACGGGAAACCCTGCTGGCCAGTACTGGGGCAAGTGCGAGAAGATGGCAGGCACACAGAGACCGCTTCTTGCATGTCTGATCGTGTGATCCTTGGATATACTTGGACCTCTCGAGGTGAGAGCAAAGTCGGCAAAGTCGCAAAGGTGGTGGAGGAAGGCCTCGCGGGCTCACATCAACAGCAGCTCACCATTCACATCAACTGAACCTCAACCATGTGGATGCACATGTTTTCTCCAAGTCGATGGTCGTGTTGCTCTGGCAATGCCCGACTTGCTGAACCTGCGCGTCGCGCACACTACACGACATCACACGACATTATGAGGCCCATGTTGTGGAAAAACCTCCTCGGCAATCTGAGGGTGCCCTCAATTTCTGAATGCAGTTTCTTGAGGATGCCTCTCTTTGTTTAATCCAATGACTTCTGAAGCGGTGCTGTCAAGGGTCAAGGATTTGGGGCGGGAGGAGAACGAAAACCACTAGAGCAGCATCGCAGCTTTGTTAAAACGATTGCTCTTGCAGGGGTCGCAATCACGCAACATCACTCGCCGAAACGGGCAACTGCTCTCTTCAAGTTGTTGACTGAATGGGCCACCGATTCCGTATCCTCACTCGCCTAAGCCCGGACATTGGCGTACGCAGGCGGGTTGGGAGCAGTGATGGAGGTTTGGTGCGCTGCGCAGTTCAGGGCGCAAGTCACAGATAGCCGCAGCAGCCTGCTGTTGCGAAAGCAAAGCGGGTCCAGGCTTTTTTCTCGCAAATTTTTTTTTTGGGGGGGGAGGGGGGGGGGGGTATGGTTTCAGGTTTAGTGTTTTAGGGGTTTAGGATTTAGATTTAGGGTTTAGGGTTAAAACCCTAAACCCTCCCTCGACCCTAAACCCAAAAAAGATACGAAAAGAATACGAAAAAAGAACCATCAGCCAAGCAAAGGGCCGTGAGCCCGAGGCAAGGAACCACAGCAGTGGAGATCATCAGGTGGCTTCAATGCCTCGTGCACTGCAAGATTTCAGTGTGCTTTGTCTGAGCGCGTGCAGCTGAGGGCTGTGGGAGGGCCCACATTACAATCGTCATTTCAAAGGCAGAGTCAGCTGGAGTTATCGCCTCTGATATAATGCACGTCTAGCGTGTGGATGACTCAACAACGAATGAGAGCCGAACAACCTGTTTCAGCACACATTGCACCAAAAACGTCTTTGAAGAATTCATGCTGGCCCATGTGGCGTGTCCTCACTTGCCGAATATCACTGCGGCACATTCGGGTTTACGTTCCTATGGGACAAGGGAAATGCAACGCCGGCGTCAGGTGAATATGGCTTCATTTCCATACCCGACTGCAAATCTGCATCTCGGCTTACACTTCCACCGTTCACAAGCCTCGCGAAGCCGACTTGCGCTGAGGACATCCACTTCCGGCTGGATCGGGTGGCGAGGCATGGTGGACTTGGCATTCGGCGAGGCGATCTCGTGCGCTGCTGGGCGCGGGATTGGAATAAAGGAGCCACCTCCGCTGCTTGGCAGCAGTGCATCGTGCGGCAGGCACGATTGCTTCTTTCCTGCTGTTTCAAATCAGTGCAAATTCATGTTGCTTTCTGCGGAGGTTGAGGTTGTCCGCTTTGCTGGCAGAAAGGACAGGCAACTGGAGGCTTTGAAGCAGCTGGAGAAGTGGAGGCTCACAGCTTTCTGCAGGAGAAAGACAGGCTGTAGCTCGGTCACATGGCCCCAAACCCAATCTTTGAAGCGCCCCGGCTTTCTGATCTTTCTGCGAGAGCGAGAGTCGAAGCGCAACATGGTAGCCAGGGAGAGTAAAGTATGCGCTGACTAGGATATCTGTGATCGGTGGGTGCGCTACTTGACACTGACAAAAGCCCCGAAGTACATTGGCTGCGCGGCAAAAGGTTTTCTAGTTGCTCTCTGTGGGGCCCCGTCTGTGAGCAGAGTTCCGGCGTGATATTGCGTGAGGGTCGGCACAGGCGGCTCATGCATGACTGCGTCCCCGACACTGCCTCGAACCAGCTGCAACTGGCCAAATTCGAGGCCGTCAAAGACACATGTACCGGATGCTGATTCCTTAGCCTGGCTGCTGAAAGAAGCTGAGTTTGTACAAATGTTCACAGTTTCGCAATTTGCGAGCACTTTCACCATTTAGCCCGTGTGCTCATCTTTGAACCAAACCATTAGACCTAGCAGATAACACAATTCTCGAACGCAGGAACCATGCCAGCTTGTCAGCGCGAAAGAACTGTTCGGCAAGTGTGCCGCTGCAAATTTGCTTAGTCGGCCATCCCATTGAGACAGGGGCCGTCCCACACCTCGAAAGTCGGGCATCAACTGAAAATCTGACTCACTGGCGTTGTGGATTCCAGGGTTTGCCGCCACAGCTGTGGTGAACTAGTACTGTCTCGACAAAAGCTGCCGATCCCACGTTGAAGCGGGGTGTTGCTGAGCACAGTTGCAACTTCGGATGTACTCCTTCCTTAGTAGGGATTAGAGTACCCCCTATTCTAATCCCTATTAAGGACTGTTAGTTTCAGGCAGAACATCCCACGTTGCAATTGACATGTTAATGTTGCTTCTTTTGAGAGGCCTCCTCGTGCGCAGCAGCCTGGTCAGCAGCCCTGGTGCCTTGGGTTTCGCAGAGTAAACCGCTGTAAGCTACAGGGTCCCTCCCTAGAACATCTTGCGCATCTCGCATCCTACATTCAAGTTGCTTCTCCCCACATGTAAGCTGTTCATTGTAGCGATGTCAGAATGCACCAGGACCAGCTGCAACACGCAATGAAAAATGAGAAGTGGCGAACGTTGGCGGCACCTGCAGCAGATTCCGTTGCAAGCCCTGGTATCTCGCCAGCCCCTGTGCCGCCCGACGACGCTGGTGCAGTAGAAGGCAAGCGTGACAGTGTTGAGAGGGAGCTGCGATTTTCTCTGAAGGCCTTCTGTGCAGAGCGTTACTATGCTGATCTAATTGTGAGTGAGAACGATTTGGACGCGAGCCCATACGACGTTGACAAGATGCTCATAGAAGATATCTACTACACACATGCTGAAGTCAGTGACCACTTTGGAGATGGCAGCTCCTTGGAAAAGCTGCGAGGGGACCTGCTGAGGGGTAACATCTTGGCCGCCACTACTGACAGCTTGCAGCTGAACGTTTGCAAGTGGAGGGGGAGATGGCGCTCGCTGAACAATCGTAGGCTGCGCGTCCTGAAAGACTTTGAGGCTTCGCAAAGACAGGGGCAGCCAAGTTTCAGGGGTGAGGTCCAGGTCAGAAAGCGTCCTCTTTGCAAGGGCACAGCTGCTTTCATTCATAGCCTGTGCCAAGAAGAGCGTCTGACAGGGGGAGGACAGCAATCCACGGTGCATCCGGATGCAGAGCAAGCAAGAAAGACGCTGTCCCACATTGTCAATGCCAGCTTGGGCAACAAAGATGATGGATTTTACCGTGGCTGGGCGCAGTGTGAATTTGCAGAGTCCAGAATGATGCCTATCAACCAGCTGACATTTGCAGGTGCTTCTCACAGACAGCGCCAGACCACTGCACAGGCAGCGCGTCCGGTAGCGAAGCGGTCGACAGAGATGGACTTTGGCCAAACGCAACTCGAGCGAGCCAGGCAAGGCCTATTGGTAATTGACACAGTCAAGTTTTCCGGAAAGACGTACTTCGCGGACCAGAATCTCGGCAAGAGGCTGCATGCCTTCCAGCGTCAGACAGGTGAGCGTTTTGTTGTCAAAACGCGCCTCATCCCTTTGTGCCCCTGGACCGCCAAGATGGTGCTGGCAAACAGTAGTCGCAACAATGGGGACAGCGTCCAATCAATCGGCTCTCTTGGCGATGAGTGGTCGCTGACCCGCATTGTCCGTCTCCTGGTCAACCTGGCTAATGCGCTTTCACAGGAGCCGAATCTCGGCGGAGAATCGGACCTTCAAGTACAGCTTCTGGGAGGTTGCATTCTGACTTGGGGTCTCTTCAAGCACCTGGGGGGAGCGAGGATGCCTAGATAATCCAAGGGTTGGCAGACTTGGATGTGATCCCTGGAGGGGAAGTGCGGGGTCTGAAAAGGGGAAGGATACAAGAATCTAACCCCCACATTCGCATGTTTCTCCTCTGAGTTGCATTGCTGTTTGTTTTGACCCTGTTATGGGTAAACCTAAGTCCCAGCAAACCAGCCCAGGAATGCGCCCCAGCTCTTTGGGCTGCTTGCCAAGTCGCCGCTGCTGGGGGAGCAATCTGCACTAGTCGAAGCTCTTGGCAGGCGAAGGTCAGAATTCTGGGCAAGTGCCTGGCGCTTCCTGCGCAACTTGTGCAGACTGCAGCCGCACGAGTGCATGGCAGGATTTCCTGCGTGTAGTTACATGGCCAAGTTTCAAAGCAAGAGTGGAGACCAGAACGAAGCAACGTCAGTTGAGACCATCGACAACTTGCTGCAGATGTTTTCGTTGTCCGCACGAGCCCAGGGCACAGACCGTGATTTCGCACACGACGTCTCCTGGATCTCCTTGCCAACGGTTCCATCCCCACAAGAACTCCGAGAACTCCGATGCAACCCAATCCTCCCGAACACAAAGCGTCAAGCACCACAGCAGGAGCTGCCGAGCGTCCAGATCTGCGGCAGCTACAACTCCAAACATGCTTACTTCGACACCTATTTCCGTTTGCTTCGTGAGGAGGGTGCTGGAACATGCCGAATCAGCGAAGTAGGGGTGTAGCATGCATGCGCAAGTCACAGGTAGCGCATATCACTGCAAAGGTGCAGACTGTTGCAAGTGCTGGCAGGAATGCATTGCCGCCATCCGCGACGCTGTGGCAGAAGTACGTGACATGGAGTGGAAGCTGGACTTGAAGTGCATGTTCTCATCTTTCCTAGGAGCACACTACTCAACAGTCTCAACAGGCCTGTGTCCATAGCAGGAGGTTAATCATAGGTTCCCCCATCCTAAGACGCAACTTGCCCAAGCCAATCCCAACCCCAAAGGCTCAAAAGCCACAGGAAGGTGGAGACGGCCGGCAAGGATGGAAACGGCTTTTACGCCGTGCTGCAAGGGTTCAGCGCAGTGCGAGATTCGGAGGACAGTGGACAAGGTACTTGGCAGCTGTTGCAATCAGGGTTTATTTCGAGAATCTGAACCTGGTTCTTGCGACAATGCTGGCCTGGCGATTTTGTTGATTTCTTAGTCAAATGATGATAAGCACTAACTCTTTTCTCAAATGGGCCAATAGAATTGTACACGCACAGTGTCTATTAGTATTAGTCGCGATGAGTTTTTGTTAAGTCTAAACTCCTGCCGCGGTCGCAGGTGTGGTGGATGGCCGCGTCAAAGCAGTCTTCAAGATTAAGCCATTTCTGCGGCGAGCACGGTGGGGCTTGTTCTTGAATGGTGTGCTGCACCCTTGTTGGGATGGCAAAGGTACGTATCATTACCTTTGGGTTCCAGTCTTACGTAGGCTTGCTGCTGGTGTTTAGTCGGATTCAAAAGAAGGTGGCAATCCAGAGCGGCCAAACTCTTCATGCACGGCAACTTAGTGGCTTGCGTGTGTGATGAAGACTATGAGCGGCCTATTTGGCTTTTGGTTGCTTGCCATGACTTGCAGAATGCAGCGGTGGCCCTCAGCCTCTACCAATTTGGCACATCTGGTGCATCTTCACAGGAGCCCTGGCCTTAAGAAACTTCCCCAAGAAAGAATAGTTCTGCTTGGCAAGTGTTCTGCATGTTTCTGTCTAGTTCTGGCCAGGCCGTCCTAGGCTCATGAGTCTCAGGACAGTCGGCACCTTGAGCGATTGGGGAGCTCACAGAGCTTCATCCTGATCGCATCCCCTACGTACTTCCGTGCCTCAGAGCCGATCTTGAGGAGATTGCAGGCGGCCGAGGAGGTGAGACTAGAGATTCCTGAGAAAGGCATGGTTTTAACTGTGTACCCGTCTTTTGCTCTTGACTGCTGTCCCAGTCGACAGCTTGTCAAAGCCCCAGGCGAGCATGCCGTTTGTGGAAGAACTTGTGCACTGCCAAGTCTGCGGATACCGACCCAAGACTGTGCGTGCAGCAGACCACGTGGACCGGAGCTTGATCTTCAACGGGCCAGAGAGGCAGACATATGACGTGTATCACATCGTGGGCACTACGCAAATGACTCAGGAGCACGCTTGGCCAGTCGAAGCCAGGACAGCAACTTCCGTCCCGGACCTCAAGGGTCGAATTGTGTTCCGAGTCCGCAAGAATATTGGGATGCAAACTTTTCGTGTCGAGAACCTGGCCGGCCATCAGATCCTCACCCTTTCTGACTCCCAGGCTGGTGCCTTGACTTCAACTTGTCAGTGGCATCAGGCATGAGTCTTGAGGAATCGTGCCATGCTGGGTCATGCTGGGTGAAATCCCGCTTTGTATGAGGTTCTTCGGCGCGCCACGTGCTCAACGCCTGCCCAGAGTGCCCCGACGACCCTCCAGATGCTGTGGATGTGTCGCTGCGGGCTGAGATTGTCCCGGCCCCAGCGTGATGATCAGTTTGTATAACCTTCGGCTGAAGCTCCTGAATCGCTTTTTGCACTCACAAGGGCACATCCATGCACATTCTCTACTGCCAAACACTGGACTCGTCCAACAGCTCACAGTAGCGCCATGAAGAATTGCTGTCAGAATCTTGCGCAGTCAAAGCTGATCTTGACATCTTGACCTGTGTCATCATGTCAACGTACGCTCCTACAACGAACCAAATCTCTCTGCCGAGGCCTCGTAGTAGTTTTGAACCCCTTACCACAACTCATGCTTGTTCTCCCAAGGTTGTATCCGCCGACGGGGCGCCTGAAAGGCAGCTTCGATACTGCATTGTCCCTAAGAGCGGGCAGCTAATTTGTTCCCTGAGCACAGTGCAATCGTGGCATGTGTGTTGCATCAGGGCTGGCATGCTTAAGCCAACGGGCCACGCGCTGCGAGAATGATTCTTTGGTTGAGGTGGCAACTTTCACCAGCTGAGTGGCGAGATTGAGGAGGCAATCAGGAAGGGAGACGATGGAGATTTTGCTGGCACGTCCACCTGTGACCTGAGCCACTCGGCGAACAGAAGCAGCCGATTCAGCAGCTAATCCTGCGACGATCGGAAGCGGGTCGTTGAGGTCGTGAACAGATAAAATAAGGTCCGATAGCCGCAGCGAATAGCTTGAAATCGACGTAACACCCCGCAAGCCCAAGGGTGCTCCTTGTCACAACAACCTTGAGAAGGAATGGAGACACAGCATGCAAGGCCAGCTCAAAGCCATCAGGCATGCCTTGCAGAATCGCGTGGCGCTCATCCAAGGCCCTCCAGGCCCATGCCTCGCCATACAATCGCATGGAAGCCTGAAGTGAATGTCACTTTAGGACGTTCAAGGGCTCGCTTTGTAGGTTTGCGTTACTGCTGGCACTGTTGCACAGGCACTGGCAAGACCCTTATCGGCCACAAGCTGGTGCAGCTCCTGACGGGAAACTCTCGACGTGAAGGAGGGTGGCGAGTTTTGGTACTCACCTACAAGAACGATGCGCTGGATGCTTTTTTGGAGCTGTGTAAGAAAGCTCCCGATAGCCCAGAGGTTGCACGCATCGGTCGCGGGAGTGCTGAGAGAGCGCGGGCCAAGAAGCTGATCCAGGAGCAGAGAGTTGCACAGTAGCCTTGCTGCTGCTTTCGGGGCTAGGGAGTGGAGGGCAAGTCAGTGCCGAGTTTCTGTCATTCCCCATGGCATGGCTGGTGAAACTCCAGGAGCATGCAGAGCTGAAGCAGCGCGATGCGCAGTGCAAGGAGGGGCAGCCAAGAGCAAAACAGCCGAAATTGCATACCCGCCTTTGCTCAGCTGCATATAAGCCTAAAGTTGGGTTGCAGGCTAATTCCAACGATATCAAAAGGTGCAAGAGTGCGAACCCATGGATTGGAGTAGCTCGCAGAAGGGGTGGGGACAAGCGTGCCTTCATTGGAGGCGGCGGTGAGGAGTGCCCAAGTCAAGGTGCAGGAGGCGGCCCGACTGTCAGGTGAAAGAGGTCAGAGAGTCTCTATCTCTCCCTCAGTGCTCCCTGTTTCTGAATTCTCTCTTGTTGGGAATTCCTGCCTGAGGCACTGGAGCAGTTTGCGGACCGGGATACATACAGTGCATCTCGCCATATCCTGGAAGCAAGCTGCCTTTGCCGCTCATGTGCCGCGACATGTTGCGACTCAGCCGCCGAGGTTGACACGCTCCTGAAGAGTGTTTCGTGGGACCGGCTGCGTCGGCTTCTGGGGCCAGAGAGCTGGTGTGCTCAGAAGCTGCGGGAGCTCGAAACTGCGGCCGGCTCGCAGCTCACTCCCTTTCTTGCTCTGAGCGCTCGAAGTATGGACACCAACACCGACGTGGAAGGAATCAGGCAGCACGTTGAGAATGAACTGCAGGAATCTTGCCTGGAAGGTGATGTGCTGCCTTGTAATTAATTGAGGGTAGGCTGATGCTGCTCGGGTGTCTCTGCTTTGGACACTTTTGTGATGGCCCTCCCTGATGCTAGACTCTACTAGACTCACTAGACCATCCAGACTCTAGCATCAACCGCCCAACCTCCTACGATCTCCTACCGCACAAACAGTCTCAGACTACATCGCTGAGGCTTGGTACCATCGAGACTGGGCGCTCAAAGAAGTCAGCAAGGGCTGGCCACAGAAGCCAGCCCACTCTGCCAACACCCACAGTGAAGGTTTCGAGAGGCCAGCGAGGCCAGCAGACATGCCTAACACTCAAGTTGTGGAGGTTGAGACAAAAGAAGAGTGGCATCAAATCATTCAACACATGAATGAGGAGAATTGCATGAGAGAGGCCGTGGAGTTGAGACCTGGTGTAGTCGTGGAAGAAGGATGGGTTCTTCGAGGGGAGCACGGGCCAGGGCAGAATGAGCCTCCGACACTTCCCGCTCGTCTTTGTTTCGGTGATGATGAAGCCCAGCTCGAGCTGCAGGCACAAATGGAAGCGGAGCACTTGGCCGGAATGGGACTTGATGGCCGAGAAAGCCGGCAGATCTCTCAATGGCCACTAATTCGCATGACTGCCTCACAACGCGGCCCCCGCGCGACCAAGTCCCAGAAAGACTACGATCGCACTTCTGACCTTCACAACCTTCATGAGCTACAGCGAGCAGAGCTGGTGAAGGAGCAGCTTCTGGAACAAGCCGACATCTGCTTTAAAGTCCTCGAGCATGCCCTGGATGGCTTGGAGCAGGCTTGCAACGAGTTGAAGGCGCATGAAGATGACCTTCGCGGGGGCCTCATCCAAAGGTTTTGATGCAGGCATCTGTTAGTCTCTGGCCAAGCGCGACGGTAACTGTCTCGGTGGCGTAGCTGAGGTAGGCAGGTTTTCGAGAGGAGCCGAGTCTTAGCGGCACTTCGAGGCATCCTGGTGCAAAGCAAACCACTGCAAGCCTCGACAAGGGAGCATGAGTCTGAGTCATATAGGTTGATGTCATCCAAGGAGTTATTGGCATGACCATCAGCGGTGCTTCCATCCACTCTGCACTGCTCGCGCAGCTGAAGCCAGACGTGGTCCTCATTGAAGAGGCGGCAGAAGTCCGGTCCTGAGGCTATTTCTTCAAAATTTCAAGATCATTAGACTCTTAGACGTGCAACTGTCCGGGCAGCATGACACGTCATTCACAGAAGTGCTTTGCACATGCTTGACGTAGGGTGGCAAGATGCAGCCATGCCAAGTCCAGAACTTGAGGGTCGCGGGGTGGGAGCCCAGAGGCCCATTCTCCAGATGCCAACCGGAAGCCTCCTAACCTTGAAGCCTCCTGGACAGACACATTGTTTAAACTCTTGAATCAACGGTAGTCTGGGGAGTTCAGGTGTTGGAACCTGCTGTGCTGGCTGTTCTGGCACCGTGGGTCAAGCACCTGATCATGATCGGTGACACGAGCTGCTGCCTGAGTTTTGGAATGTCAGTTGGGCCTGCGCTGCAAATCGCGAGGCTGATAGCCCAAACGGAGATCCAAGCTGTGCTGGCAGGGTTGGTAGCTTAGGACAGCTGCCGCCAATGGTGAAAACGTACGCGTTGAAAAGGCCACTTTCAATTTCAATTGCTTTGCGACATATTTGCACGTTTTCTTTAAGTGTGCCAGCGATGCGTTGGTGCATGTAGTGTGAGGTTTGGCTGTTTCGCTTCTTGTGCACCATCAGGAACCATTCCTTTGACGTGAGCATGATGGAACGATTGATCCAGAATGATTTGCCAAGTGCTGAGCTGCACGCCCAGGGGCGGATGCTGAGCGAGATATCTCGGCTTCTGAAACCCATCTACGCACATCTGAGCGACATCGTGGCTGAAACAGGCAAGCTCTCTCCACCACGATGTGTGGCCTCCGCCGTGTTCTTCTGGCATTGCCCACACCCAGAGCAAAACCAAGAAGCTTGTCCCTATACCGCCAAGCAGAAGAGTCAGCGAGGATATGTCAACGTTGCAGAGCAGCTTGGCTAGCGCATCCCCTCCCGCCATAGTCCTATATAAAGAAATATCCAGTCGGAGTGGCTAGGTCTTCGTCTTGGCATCTGGCCAGTTGATCCTGAAGTTGTCCTAGGTGCGAGCGTGCAGTTCAGCTGGCGGGCTTCTTCATATCCCAGGGCTATGCTCCAGACAAAATCACCTTGCTTGCTCCTTACGAAGCACAAGTCGCCCTCATCAGACGCAGTCTGGAAACACATCTTTCCGGGTACATCGCAGGATGGCCTGCAGAAAATTTAAGAGGATTCGGCGCAAGGCTCGATACAACCCTCATCGTTGGCAACAAGGCCCTGTAACGACGAAACATGTAGCTCTGCCTAAGGCCCTATGAAGCACTATCTGGTTCCTTAAGTCCCTTAGCTAAGTCTCCTCCTCAGAGGGTTTCCTTCGAAGCAGCCCTTCCGAATTCCAGGTGCATGTGACTAAGTCCTTGATCGATGAGGGGAGAATCATCATGGCAACTTCCGGCGACTTCACGCCAGCTGAAGGACCGTAGACTGACATGTTGAGAAGAAGAGCCCGGTGTGAGTTTGTGTGCCAGGGAGAGGGAGGGGCTGGAAGCAGTGCGGAAGGCTGCTCTTAGCATTAGCATGACGCAGGGCGTCAAGAGCATTGTTCAGGGCTGTGAGTAGAGTGTCTTATTCACGCGTTAGAGAGTTAGAGAGGAACGAGTTTGTTTTGGAGTTTTCGACCAGCAAAGAGGGCGCGACGCTCTTGCTGTTACCCCAGCAGGGTCTGAAATCTTTGTCTGGACAGACAGAGAGTGCATGCGACAGGCATGTACAGCGTCAGAGTCCTCCAACGTCGCGACGCAATGTACGAGGAACCCTTGCCGCATCATGACACGATGAGGGCCTGGCACACAGCAAAATACCTGCCTGGCAGTGGCTTGTTGTTGAGCACAAGGCATGCTTGACGCCTTGCCTGCAGCCAATTGTCAGCTCTATCGACAGGCCGGGATGGGATTCGCCGAAGGATTTTGCTCTATATGGCTCGCTAGCATGTCCCTGAGGTATCAAGGATTGGAGAACGACGTGGTCATCGTGTCTCTGGTGAGGTCAAACGCCACGAACAAGCTCGGCTTTTTGAAAGATGATGGGGGAAAGCGGCGAATGTGCGTAGCCCAGTCGCGTGCCAGATGCGGCTTGTATTTCATTGGTAACGCAGATTGCTTCAGTACAGCTCCACACTGGAAACAGCTTCTCGACATGCTGAGAGAACGTGGACAGCTTGGGAACGGCTTTCCACAGCGATGTGTTCGCCATCCGGGAGTTCGTAAAGACGCATTGGAAGCCGATGATCTCGGCTGCAAGGAGATGTGTGGCCAACCCTTTGGGTGCGGCTTTCCCGAGCATTTGTGTAGGCTCCCGTGCCATCCGGAAGACGGGAGCCACGGCGCTGAGAGCTGCAGGTGCACAATTGCGGCTGTAGGCAAATGCGACAAAGATCCGCCTCACGTTCTCATTGTGCCATGCATCCATCGGGCCGAGATATCAGACCAGATGCCTTGCCCCAATTGCAGCCGATGTGGTGGCGATGATGGTAGCGGCTCGGATTGTGCCTTCCTCCGTTGTTTGGAACATGCGGCTTTGTGCTGGAATTGTAGGTGCTCCTTCCCTGCTTGCATAGCTTGACTCACCAACTCCTTAGGAATAGTCGCAACATGAAACATGTTTCCCAGCGGCAAAAATCTGAGGTCACCGTTGAGATGTTTAGTAATTTCGTAAGGAGCCAGGCCTGCCAGCCTGTGCAGTTCAAGGGTTGTGGTGGAGCTTGAGGCCTCGGGTGCCCTGAGATTCCTGTTCAATCTTAAGGGGCTATGCCACTTAAAGTGGGACGACTGATTCAAAGCAAGTTTGGACTTAAAATGACATACAAAAACCCTAGACATGCCTGCAAGAATGGTGTTTTGATCAGGGAAGACTTAGCATGCATGGTCAGTCCCATGACAGTGCCTGCGCGCGACTTGCTGTATGACCTTGGTCTTCCATGGCGGTGCGAAACGGATCCAAGGTGGGCATTCCGGCTGGCAAGGTGCTTTTGACCCAACCAACGCTTCCGGCAGCACGAACCCGGCTGGTCAGAATTGGGACTGGTGCGATCGCAAACGCAAAGACTGGCACCGTTGGCCTGTGACTGACAGCAAGCGAAGGCGATGTTCGGACAGAGCCAGATGATAGATGATGTTTGGCTGCTTGCGATAGGTTGGATCACGAAGTTTTTACATCATGATTGCTTGTTTTGAATATGGGGGTTTACGAAAATGGTGGGCTCCCAATATAGACCCCAAATAGTAGGATCCCCTTGTAAGGAGGACCCCAATACGCTAACCCCAAAATCGTAAAACCTCATATTGGTAAGCGGCCCGTAGACTCGGGAGTTTTTCCACTTGCAGACTCTTCGCGGCTTTGCTTTAAAGCAAGCTGGACGACGAACGTCTTCAAGAGACTAGCCACCGTGACTACGTGCAGTTGCACAAATGGCACTACGATCTGCTGGCTTGCAGCACACCCTTGCAAGCTCCGCATGTCCTGGTCCCGTTTTGTGCCTGCAGCTGTTCAGTGCTCAGTTTCCAACTCGGGTTTTTTGGACTGAGTCATGGACGGGTTCGTCCGCGAGGCGCGTGTGGGCACGGAAAAGCGAGCTACGGAATTCGTAATTCAAAAATGTCTTAAACGCTTATGGCCTGCAGTTCCTGCAGGTGGCCGCAGAGGCGGCTTCCGCCAAGTTGGACCGTCCGCCGGCGGCTCAGAGATCATGATCTAAGTCCAAATGCGAGGATGATATTCTGTACTAGTTAACAAGGAGCGCGTGAATGGAGGCGGGAGCACGACTTTTTTGCTTTTCAAACCTCAAAACAAAAGTACACGGGGATCGAGGCGGGAGCACGATTTAGGACCAGGGAATGCGCACAAAATGTTGGTAGTTCTTGCTATGAGAACTGCGAACGCCGAATGCCTTAGTCACAAGCCCGCGCCTAGGCGAGACCGTGATTTGGGACCAGAACGAGCGCCACCCCGAAGCAAAAGAGTCGCAGAACTGCCGGAGGCACACGCCCTCCTCAACATTGGAAGCCTGCAGTGTTTTCCAATGTTTTGTGAACTAGACTACTTAAACCACAGGCATCAGGAACGATGCCCTGAGCCTGAAGTCTACAAGCTTTGCCTTCTGGCGAACCCATGACCAGGATGCAGCGTGCCGGCAGCTTGCTTCATTCCCCGCGTGGTCGCGCGCAATGGGCATTCGCAATGATTTGCCAACCATCCGGCCGCAACTCAAGCAAGCCAACCCCCGAACCTGGCGACCTGGGGAACTGCTGAACACGATTAGAAGCTACTGGTAACTACAAGTAACCCTTGCGCACGCTCCTGGTGAAGCATCGCAGTTCCATGACGACCATGACGTTCATGGCCGGGAGCGTGCGGGTGCCGGAGAGTTCGGCAACGCTCATGGACGCTCATGGCGGGTCCGGGGGAAGACACTCTAGAGAGCGTCCATAGCGACCATGATGCTCATGGCCACTTGCATGAGGGTGCATGAGAGTTCCGCAAGGCTCGTGGACGCGCATGGCCGGGGGTGTGAGAGTCCATGGCAGTTCGGCAACGCTCATGGACACGCATGTCCGAAGGCATTAGAGTTCATGAGAGTTCCGCAGAGCTCATGGATGCTCAAGACGCTCATGACGTTCGGCGAAAGCAGTGGAGAGCGTCCTTAAGCTTAAGTGGCTTCGGACATGAAATTTCATCTCTACTTGAATGGCCGAGTGGCGAAGGTTAACTACACCGGCGAGGAGGGGAGATAAAGTGGCAGTGCGGACATTTATTCATTTCATGCTAGACATTTCAACGTTTCTATTGAGTTCTATTGTTTTCGGAGGATTGAAGGGGCGAAGGTTTTGAGGTCTCCGGGCTGCGTATAGCGGCTCAAGGCGAAGCGACAGGGTAAAACAACTACATGCTTAATTAAGTAGAAGGTCGACAAGGCCATAGGATTCGTCAACGCACGCGTGTTGTCCACAACGTGGGTGCGAAAGTCTTTGGGCAGCTGGTCAAGATTGGGGCTGGTCAGCGCACGTCCGTTGTCCACAACGTGGGTGCGAAAATCTTTGGGGGCTGGTCCACGCTTCTTGTCCACAACGTCGGTGCGACATGGTGCGAAAGTCTTCGGGGGGCTGGTCAACAGTGGGGCTGGTCAAGGCACGCTTGTTGTCCGCAAGGTGGGTGCGAAAGGCACCCACCTGATAAGATTGATGATAAATATTCATATTTCATTATATTTTATAATATAAATCGATATGCAAATTATATTTAAAGGCTGACGCCGCTGCCGCCGACCCCCGAGGTAAGCGCTGCGGATGAAGTATGATTGATAGCCTTGGCCATTCCTTCTGCCAGGGGTCTCTTCATGGGTTCTGGTGCGCTACAGATCACTTGCCCTAAACCCAAACGTCCCTAAATCCCAAACCCTAAACCCACCCTAAACCCAAACACGAACACAAGTCCCAACACGAGGAGCCGCAGACTGTTTGCGACGGGCAGGAAATCGGGGGCACGTTTTAGGAGGAGTTG